TGTTGATATATATGTATTTGTTGATCACAATTTTTATCTTTTTTCTTCTTCTTCCTTTTCTTAAAGAATACCTTTCAGCATTTCATATAATATTGGTTTGGTGGTGATGAACTCCTTTAGCTTTTTCTTATCTGTGAAGCTCTTTATCTGCCCTTCCATTCTGAATAATAACTTTTCTGGGTAAAGTAATCTTGGTTGTAGGTTCTTGCTATTCATCACTTTGAATATTTCTTGCCATTCCCATCTGGCCTGCATAGTTTCTGTTGAGAAATCAGCTGATAGTCGTATGGGTGCTCCCTTATAGGTAACTAACTTTCTCTTGCTGTTTGTAAGATTCTCTCTTTGTCTTTTGCCCATGGAATTTTAATTATGATGTGTTTTGGTGTGGTCCTCTTTGGATTCCTCTTGATTGGGATTCTGTGTTAAGTCTTGATTGTTGTAGGTATCACTGGGAGGAATTGACCTTCAGGCCAATTGGATGTGAGTATCAGCTGTGTCTTCACTGGGATACCTTCTGTATTGGAACCAGACTTGCAAAATTGCAAAAACCTCTGTGCTCAGCTTGGGTGGGGCGGAGTCTCAGGGCTGAGCTGACAGTCTTGGCTTCCCATCAGTCCTGCCCTCATTCACGCACCTCAGACCTCTGCCTTCTGCGGCTCCCCTGAGTTTCCACCTCACAGTCCAGATTCTCCTTGTAAGAATGTGGGTGTCCCAGGGGCTCACTTGGAATTGGATTGGATCTCTGTAGTCTGGAGCTTCCGACTCCTTCCATTATGGAGTAGCTGCGGCAATTCGCATTCAGACCTCTCTTTATGCACTTACCCGTGCTCGACTGTAGACCCTTCCCACTGTGGCTCCCAGCTCCCCCAAGTCTCCTAGTCTCCAAGTCTCTGGGTGCCTTTCTCTACAGTCCAGATTCCACCCATATGAGCCCGGGTCCATGGGGTTTCGGCAGGGTTGGGGTTTAGTGCAGTCGGAACTGGGATTCAGTTCCCACCAGCCAGGCACTCGGCCGCCCTTCCTCTCTGTGCATAAGCATCTCCCTACCTCAGCCCTTTGTGGCAGCCCTGATCCATGAGCATCTCTCCTTCTTTCTAGTTGTAGATTTCCCACTCCACCAGCTTTCCTGTGGTTTTGGATGATGTCTGTTCTGTCTTTTAGTTGTGTTTTGAAATTGTTGTGTGAGGCAGCAGCTTAGGTGCTTACCTAGGTCGCCATCTTGGTTTCCCCAATTATAATAAAATTTAGAAATTACTGAGCATGAAGCCACAGTCCATGTGGCCTCTGGAGAAAGAGCTGATGGCACAAATTAATACACAAGACAAGAAATATAAATTTGGAAATTATGGGGGAAGCCAGTTATGATCATGGTACTAGGGACTGAGCCTCCGTTCCCATCTTTTATTTACTAGAATACACAATTGCCTTTTAGGAATGCAAACAGACATGCCAAAGGTGATGTTTGGTAAACAGCAAGATTATCAGGTTGGGGAGTTTGCTTTAGGCCATTGAGTCATCAGCAGTAGGTAATAAAATGCAGACATTCACCCTGTGAATATCAAAGAGCCCATTCAGCCTTCTGACTGTCCCATTTATATTAATTACTATTGCTCTTGCTTCCCAGCAACTGGGCTTAACTGAGAAGTACTGATAAACCATCCTGAGAGTCCAAAAGAAGGAGTGACTACTTCACAATGGGAAGAGTCAGGGAAAGCCCTGGAGAGGAGGTGAAATGTGAATTTGGTCCTCAGTTTGGGTAGGAATTTGATTTGTGTAGATGAAAGAAAGGACATTCCATGGGCAGCACGAGACCCAAAGGTGGGAAAGCCAAGGGCATCTATAGTAAACCTGTAATGATTCAACTTGGCTCATGCATAAAAGAATTAAGAAAAATCATTTGAACAATAAAAATTGGATATCTAAAAAGTAGACTCGGGCCAATTATACTACAATTGACAGCAAAAGCAGATGAGAGGGCAGGGCGGTGCGAGCATAAACTCCGGACTCCACTGTGGAGCAGGGCGGAGTTATCCTCCATTTTGTGTAACCGGAACCTGGTCCTCACCCAACCAATCGGGGTCAGCCAAAGCAGGAACATCACCACCAGAGTGAAACCCCAGGGCTTGGCGAAATTCGTTCTCTTCTGCCATGCTGCCGGCATGGGTGGGACAGAGCCCATGCTACCATGGAAGAGGCTCTTTTGTTTATTGCATCGGACTTGGCTCCCTGGGGGTCCTTGAGGATCACGAAGTCTGGGCGTAACACAGACATGGTCCCTATCCTCATGGAGTTTACATCTTAGAGAAGGAAACCAACTTAAAAAATCATACAAACAAATACTGAGTCCTGTCTGGGAGAAATGCTTGAAGGAGATAGGTAGAGACTATAGTAACAGCCGATTGTGCAAGTAAAGGGAGAACAGAGACTGCTAAAGAAGAGACACTTGAGGTGGCAGCTAAAGGAAAACCAGAAACAAATGGTTCCAGGGAGGGTATTTTAGGAGCGGTCCCAGGGGAGCATCTCCATAGACTCCATGTCAGCTTTCCAGGCGTGCCCTCTCAGGATCTCGGTCTCCACGGACTAGTCAGCACCAGGGCAGGAGTCCTGGGTCAGGACTGGCCCTGAGGTCAGGCTTGTCTGGTTGTGCTGCTTTTCCAGGCCTGAAACACAACTGAGGCCTAAATGCATTGATGTGGGTCAGAACCACATTGCCCTGAGGCCTTAATGCTTAAGGGCTCCTTTTTCATTCCCCCTCTAAGGGATGGGGGGTCTAACCCACATGATTAGCAACATGCCAGGGGAGGAAAGGTCACTTGGGGGTGAGGTCCTTGTTTTCCCAGTTTCACCCACTGCGAGGCACCAGGGCTTTCCACCCTGGTGACCTTCATACCTGGCCCATCGTCCTTGCTCTGCTCATGCCTCTCTAGCTGCCTCCAGAAGCATGGGGGTTTTCTTTGTATGAGGATGGAAGCTGATAAAGGGACCAAGGACAACATTTTGGGAAATCGGGCATGTTTAAGCAGCACCTAGAGAGAAGTCAGTTAAGGAGACTAAGCAGAGATGGAAAAGCTAGCAACTGCACTCTGGGCTATTCTAATTATTTAATACCTATACCCCCAGGCTAAGTGAACTGAAAAAATAAAAAGTATTTTCAGAAGCATCAATCAGAAAGGATATATGCACCCCTATGTTCATAGCAGAACAATTTACCATAGCTAAGATTTGAAACAGCCTAAGTGCCCATCAGCAGATGAGTGGATTAAAAAACTGTGGTACATTTACACAATGGAATACTACCCTGCTGTAAAAAAGAAGGAACTTTTAACATTTTCAATACCATGGATGGAAATGGAGAGCATTATGCTAAGCAAAATAAGCCAGTCAGAGAAAGATAAATATCACATTATCTCACTCATATGTGGGATATAATGATCAACATAAACTGATGAACAAGAATAGATTGATCTAGAGACAAAAGGTAGGGGAGGGGGGTTAAAAAGCAGCCATAGGACTTGTATGCATGCATATTAGCATAACCAATGGACACAGACACTGGGGCGGTGGGGGCTTGCCCAGGCTGGGAAGGAATGGGGGAGGGGTTCAATTGGGGGAAAAGGAGACATATGTAAAATTTTAGACAATAAAACATTTTTTCATTATGATAGGACAGATAAAATATATATTTGCCACCTATCTAGAGCATTCTAGTAAATTAGAATTTACTTAGTAAATTGTAATGAACAGTAAAATTCTAGAAAACTTAACCACTGATTGATTGACCCACGAGCTAAAATAAACAAACAAAATCCGGGTAAGGAGGCTGAGGTAGCTAGATGATACCTTAACTTACTTCCAGCTCTAATCTAAGGTGTTTCCAGAGATCCAAGAAAGTAAGAGATGGATTTCTTAAATAGAGTTACTCAAGAGCAAACCTTGAAGTAATGATACCTATTTCCTAATGAATACTGACTAGGGACAATCCAAGGTCATACAGCGGGCACTGGAATGCCCAAGGTCATAAAGGAGGCGCTGGCTACTTTTCCAGTCCCTGTCATGAGTAGTTTGATTCGTCATTGATGCACTCTGACTGGCGTCTGGTGGCAAGTCACTGGGAAGGGCATCTGTCTGTACCTCACCTAGCCAGCCTCTCCTTCCTCTGTGCCTTTGAAGTGGCTCATCAAGCAGCCAACTCTTGCATCCCAAAGGTATCCTTCCCTCCTGCATCCCAAAGGTATCCTTCCCTCCTGCATCCCAAAGGTATCCACCGCTGCAGGGGCTGTGTGGCGAGTCTGGACTCTCTAATGAGGGGCTTTTACCATGCCCTATGCATTAGGGAGCCAGAGACTTTTTTCTACCAGAATTTTTAAAAAGGCAAAATAAAAAGAAAAAGAAACCTTTATTTATAAAAAAGCCTAATGTCTTCCTTACAAAGGGCATTTACTTTAAACTATATAATCAAGTAACACTGGTGTAGGATGAGTCAGGAATCGCACAAGCCGTGTCGTCTCCGTCACTGAATCTTGCAAACATCTGTGCCAGGCGCTGTGCTAGTCCCATGACACCGACAGTGACAGACAACCCTTGAGAGACCTTCCGCGATCCTCAGGGCGGGAGCTGAGCATTCCCTTAAAGACGGATGATTCCGGTCCTGGGAAGGACGGGCACCGGCCCTCTTTGGGTAGACTTGGGGACAAACCGCAAACACTCCGACACCCTAAACACAGCAGCTGCGCCACTTCCGGCCCTGGCTCCGCCCCAACCGCAGGCCCCGCCCCCGATCCTGGTTCTGCCCCACCTGCAGGCCCCGCCCCAGCTGCAGGCCCCGCCCCAGCTGCAGGCCCCGCCCCTGAGATTCCCACGTTCCCAGCAGGCCCCGCGCGCAGTGGCCCCGCCCCCAGATCCTGACCACGCCCCATCCACCTGCAGGCTCCGCCCCTGGGCTCCCGGGTTCCCAGCAGGCGCCGCGCCCGCGGCCCCGCCCCGCCCCAGCGGCGGGAGCGATGGCGGAGCTGGATGTCGGGCGGCACTGCCAGGTGGCGCACTGCCGGCAGCGAGGTGATGGCGGAGTCCTCCAGCTCTGCCCCGGGCCGGGGCGGCGGAGGGCGGCCTGGGCGGAGCGTCTCTGTGGGAGGCAGACGCGTGGCCTCCGTGGCATGGAACCCATGGGAGCCTGGGCACCCCTGGGCGTGCCCCTGGGTTTTCGGGGCGCTCGCCGCTGCCCTCCGGCCCTGGCACCGCTTCTCTTGCCCCAACTTGAGCGCAGCCCGCTGCTGCCGGCGGAGGCCGCGGGCAGCTGAGTGCCAGCCTGGGCCCCTGGCCCTCCCGAGGAGTTCTGGTCGAAGGCCCCTCGCTTACCGGCTTCCCCAGGGGCCTGCCCTCCGGCTGCCCCGGGCGATGGCCTCCCAGCTCGGTCCCTCTACTCCGACTGTCGCCAGCCGCCAGCACCTGCAAGCAGCTGTTAGCCAGGACCGCGTTCACACTGGAGTTAGCGCCCGTCAGAGCATTAATAACCGTGGAGCCCTGAACCCTGAGCCGAGGCCCGTGGCCGCCCAGCCCACCGCAGCCGCGCAGGGGTGGCCCGGCCTCAGCGAGTTCCTGGCAGACAGCGCACCGCAGGCTCCGTCCTGGTCCCTGGTTTCCCATGTGCGCTGTCCCCTGTGGCCTGGGCCCCTGGTTTCCCATGTGCGCTGGCCCCTGTGGCCTGGGTCCCTGGGTTTCCCATGTGCGCTGTCCCCTGTGGCCTGGGTCCCTGGGTTTCGCATGTGCGCTGTCCCCTGTGGCCTGGGTCCCTGGTTTGGCATGTGCACCCTCACCTGTGGCCTGGGCCCCTGGTTTCCCATGTGCGCTGTCCCCTGTGGCCTGGGTCCCTGGTTTCCCATGTGCGCTGTCCCCTGTGGCCTGGGTCCCTGGGTTTCGCATGTGCGCTGTCCCCTGTGGCCTGAGCCCCTGGTTTCGCATGCAGGAGGTGGAAATGGGTGTCCTCACGTTGCAGCTTCGGTCCCTGGTGGCAGGCCCAGTCACTGTTGAGAGGACTCGGACTCAGCCCGGTCAGTGCAGTGCCCGCTATGAGTGTACCTGTTGTGGGCTGGGCGAAGGACAGTGTCCCGCTGGTCCTTGTTGCTTCCAGGCTCTGTACCTTCACTGCGGCCCCAGCCCTCCAGCAGCCTCCTTGCACTCTTTCATGTGGAAGCTTAGCCGGCGTTTTTTCCTGAGTTGTGTGCCTGATTAACCCTCTTAAGTCTGCCTCATGTACCGTTTACAGAGAGGAAGGGAGAGAGATAGTTAGAAACATTGATGAGAGAGAGTCATCGATCAGCTGCCTCTTGCACACCCCCCTACTGGGTACATGCCCTTGACCAGAATCGAACCTGGGACCCCTCAGCCCGCAGGCCGACACTCTATCCACTGAGCCAAACCGGTTTCGGCAAGGGCAGTATCTTTTGTTTTCATTTTGTAAAAGTGGTGTGATTAAATATGACCAGCCTTACTTTAGCTGTAATTTAATATGAGGTACATTGAAAACATTCTAGAGAGTAACTGATTGTATCCGTGGTTAATAGTTGTCACATCTGGGAATGGATACTTCCATGTGCTTTACAAAAATTCTGTTCCTAATGTAGTTATTTATTTATTTAGTTAGTTAATACGAACTTAATTGTTCCTCAACATAAGGAAAAACACAATTCAGGATTAAATTTTGCAGTATCAATCCATCAATCTATCAAATTCCTGGACTTTCTTTAAAAACATCTCCACCTAGTCACCACAATATTTTTCTCAGAGCCTATTCAAGACAAATTAAGTGTTGTAATTGTCTTATGAATTATAGTTGCTTTTTAACTATTCATACTTTTTATGTATATCATTTGGTCTTTATAATTACCTTGTGAAGTAGATATAGCATAAGGTACACTAGAGGCCCATTGCACAAAAGTTCTACTGTTAAGTAACTTGCTTAGTATTGCTAAATTAGTAAATAGTGGAATCAGAATTGAAATCAGGTTTTTCCCTTAAAATTCAGGAATTTTGCAAAATGCAGTCCTCAAAAGCAACACTTACTAAGTCTGGGAAACAAAAACAAACTGAAAAAAACAGAACATTTTTTTGGATTTAACATGCTACTTTACGTAACATTTGTTTCCTGATTACCTAGTAACATTCTCCGGAGGACATAAGGTTGTGATGGTGTTTGTTTATCTGCTACATTAGGATATTGGCAAAAAGGAAAGTTCTCCGATGGAGGAGGTGCAGTACTTGCAGATTCTCTATGCTTAAGAAAACTAAATTAAAATCCAATACTGACCAATACCTATAACACTGTCCTTCAATTTTAGATTTTCTTCCATTCGTATGTGATGGTTGTTCAGGAACATTTTGGTAAGTTATGTTTTTGTACAGGATTTGAAAGTAACTTTGATGTTTGTAATATGAGATTTACTTCTGAACAGCAGAATTATGTAAAATAGCTCTTACTTTAGCCATTGATAGTTAATGTTCATTATGGTAAAATGAACACTTGGAAAAAATAGACTAGTCATAGGCTCTGATTTCTTGTGCGTATATTTAGCTAATCTTTAAACTTCTCAGATGGCATTATCTGTCTGATTTTTCTTTTTTAAAATATATTTTTATTGATTTCAGAGAGGAAGGGAGAGGGAGAGAGAGAGAGAGATATCGATAATGAGAATAATTGATTGGTTGCCTCCTGCACCCCCCACTTTTACCCCCTCGGGTATTGAGTCTGAAACATGCACCAGGACCAGAATCAAACTGGGACCTCCTGGCTCATAGATCAACACTCAACCACTGAGCCACATTGGCTGGGCTATTTGTGATTTAGTATGTAAAAGTTGTATTTGTGTCTTAATCACAAGAAAAGAACATATCCACAATATAAAAAATGTGGAAAATATCCAGTTAATGATTATACTCTTTATTTTAATTAATAAAATTAAAGTAATGCATATTTTAAAATCAGAACTAGAGCACATTTTTTATCTTTTATTATTAATGGTCTTTGAGAAATAAAAGGAATCAAAAGATTTTTTTTTTAATCAGTTCACACACCTGAAAGCACTCAGAGTGAAGGTAATTTAGAGTGACAAACTGTTTTTTCTCATATGGAAGTTGAACAACTATGTTTTAAGCCTTTTGAGGCAATAGATGCTCTACTTTTATCTGCTATTTCAGCTTATCCTTATTTGTAGAGTTCTTAATGTAGCATAAATGTAATCTTAAGGATGCTAACAACTGAAATATTTCAGATTATTACAGTTATCCTTATATTATTTAATTGCATTTAAGTAAACACTATTTTTTTTTTTAATTATTTAAGCCTTGAGCACAGAAGCAGAGAGTCACATGGCTGTTCTGAGGTATGTTAATAGTTTTCTCTAATAACTCACATTTGTATTTATGTACTTTTCTTCCAATTTTTAAAAATGGATTTTTATTGATTTCAGAGGAGAAGGGAGAGGGAGAGAGAGAGAAACATTAATGATGAGAGAGAAACATTGATTGGCTGCCTCCTGCACGTCCCCTACTGGGGATCTAGTCCTCAACCCTGGCATGTGTCCTAACTGGGGAATTGAACTATGATCTCTGGTTCAAAGGTCAACACTCAACCACTGAGCCACACCAGCTGGGCTTTTTCCAATTTTGAAGAGATTTCAAACCAGCCAGTGTACAGCAGATTAAAATTTGGCATACTAAGCTAATTATGCAAATTATTGTTTTTGCTTTATATTATTTTTCTCAGTTTTTTAAGAAGTTAGTCTATTTGGTATTTATACTTTTAGTCTCATAATTCTTATTTCTTTACACTCCGGTTCTGTTTGGGTGGCCGCTTGCAGCTCTAGGCTCCCTGTTTGCAGATCTGAAACGGAATTGCCGCCCTCGTGCACCCCTGCCAGTTTCCTCCACTCGTTCCTTTGCACTGGTGCCTGGTAGTAGGATTTGGTGACAGCATATTGTTCTGGCTCAGTCTTAGACCACCTGGAACAAACCTGTGGTCCCACCACGTTCCAGTCTAATTCTGACCACATGGGGAGCTAAAAAGTGGCTGGTAGACAGAAACCAAAATGTCTGTGTTACTGCTAAAGGACAGGGAGAATGGTAAGGCTTGGTGAGGAGAGCCCAGTAGGTCTGCAGAGAACGCCAGAATTAGGCACACTGCCTGCCAGTCCCAGCAGTGCTGGACCCGCCAGCCTCCTCCTGGACTCCCAAGTTCAGTTCCAAGAGGAAAAAGAGAAAGCTGAGCCCACTTTCTCACATGTGACAGTCAGACAAGTGCCCTACCTCCCTCGGGTCAGGAGAGGCGGGAAGTTAAAGTGAACTCTCTCTGTTCGGAAGGAAGCGTCTGCCTCACACTCTGCAGGGGACACGTATTCCTGCCCACTGTTTGCCAAGCACAGGGACTTTACCTCTGCTCTCTCAGTTATAGAAAATGAAGGTTAAATGGCTTCAGTCACAGTCTGGCCCTGTGAAGTTGAGTGATTCATTTGAGGGAACTAAAAATTAACCAACTTATTGGTGTTACACAGGGTTAACAGAGAAAAATCCCATTTAAGTCACAGAAACATGCTGATGTTTTTTATGCAACTTGTAAATCTGCCCTGTGCTGTCCTTTTTCTTATGATACCATTTGATTTTCTTTTAATGTCTCTCAATTGGATCTCAATTAAATAGTGAAGAAAAATCATTTACCTTGAGACTGTGGGAACAAATTTGGAAAAATAGTTGACTCATTTCCAACAAGATGCAGCTATTGTTTATATGGAAGAATATCTTTGTGGATTTCAAGCAATTATGTCTCTAAATTCATTAACTCTAGAAACGTAGTTATTTAATACCCTTCCCCATTTTCAAAAGTTTACTTTAAGTCCCTTCACTTTTATGAAAGACCCATATTAGTATCTGTTTGTGCTAACCTAAGGAGATCCAAAAAGGGTTTCACTTTTACAGAAAAGGGGAGAAGTGAAAACAGCGTTAGCGCTTGTTTTGCAGTGAGCCATTCGCTGTGCAGGCAGCTCACCCCGAGCTGTGAGAGCGGCGGCCATGCTCCTTCCCCGGCATCACGCTTAGCAGCTCGGCGTTAGGGCTCCCAGCTTTCAATTGTGTCTGAGCATCTGGGAGACCCACTGTGGGGTCTGGGGACATTGAAGACATTTTCCATGAAATTAATGGTAATTGCGCCATTTCGGTGTATGTAGTTTTATAGATAGGAATGCTCAGCTACTTTTGCGTAGTGGGGTACATCTGTAGTCAGACTGATGGATCTGGATTTTTCTTTCATCTTATAAAATCTCATCTTTTTCTGATGTAATGTTTGCTGGAAATAGAATATTAAACAAACCATTGCGAGCAGTATATCATTATGAAAACTGTCTTTAACCCTCTGTATCATGGATAAACATCATTTTTTAAATATAATTTATTGATTTTTATAGAGAGGAAGGGAAAGGAATAGAGAGTTAGAAACATTGATGAGAGAGAAACCCGGGACCTGGGCTTCCCTCTGGCTGCCAGCTGCCCCCTGCACACCTCCTACTGGGAATGTACCTGCAACCCAGGTACATGCCCTTCACCGGGATTAAACCTGGGACCTTTCAGTCTGCAGGCCCATGCTTTATCCACGGAGCCAAACCGGTTAGGGCGATAAACGTAATTTTAAGTACTCATTTATATATACTTAACTACTTAAAACTGGTGTAGAAAATAGGTAAACTTGCCATTGAGGACTGATGTTGGGGTGACTCCCTGAGCATGTTAGTATGGGGCATCTTTGTGTTGGACCGTTATAAAGTAGAAGACTAAAATTATAAAGAGTAACTCAATAGTCACGTTAACTTGATTTAGAAGATAAATATACCACAGTAGGAAGATTATAAAAATGTATAACAGCACAATAATCTTTTCTCACACAGATATTTACTATAATCTGTTTTGTGGGAGCATCTAAGTTGCTCTTGTAAGTTAAAGTAGTAGTAATATGAATCCTGCCTTCCAAAATAGGTTTGTTGACTTATTCTCCATGTGAAATATGCCAATTTCTCCCTTTTTACATTTTCAGGTGTCTGTAGTCAAGGAGAGGCTGAAGTCAGACACACATGCATCTTACCCATGTGCGTTCAAGGGCTGTGCTGAGAAAGAGCTTGTACCAGTGACCTGTCCTCACTGTGAGAAGAACTTTTGCCTGAGGTGATCACTCAGATCATCCCACTCTGTGTATCGCTTTAATTTGTATGCAAGTACTTGAACTGGTTCACTCTTCTGCTCACAGACACCGTCACCAGTCAGATCATGAATGTGAAAAACTGGAACTCCCCAAGCCGCGCATGGCTGCCACTCAGAAACTTGTTAGAGACATTATTGGCAAGTACCAGGAAACTTGTTTCATTGCTTTCTGTATTGCTATCTACCTATTAGTTCCAAAGCTCCTGCTGCTTGTGTCTGCTTTTCAGTGTGGAAGGCATTGCTAACAGCCTCTGTGGGCTGCAACTGGCAATCTATTTTGATGATATTCTTGCAACAGTATTCTTACAAGGCCAGATGTTTTCCTGCTCGGCCACTCAGATTAGCTGATTAACCATCACAGCTAGAAATGGTTCCACAGGGCTAAAGTAGTAGTTTGTAATCTCTAAAGACTAAACGTTAAGCCTAGTCTACTGTCCTAAGAATGCTATTACAATCTGAGGTACCAGGAAAGAATCTCTCTACATAAAAAAGCATAATATGCTAATTACACTGGACGACCTTCTGGATGAAGCAGGGTCTTCAAGGGAAGCCCAGGTCCCGGTGCCTGCTGGCAGCCAGAGGGAAGCCCAGGTCCCGGTGCCTGCTGGCAGCCAGAGGGAAGCCCAGGTCCCGGTGCCTGCTGGCAGCCAGAGGGATGCCCAGGTCCCGGTCCCCGGTGCGGAGAGAAGCCTGGTTCCCAGGTGGCAGAGGGAAGCTAGTGCTGGCAGTCGGGGGAAGGAAGATCTACTCTTGAGTGGATTCCATGCATCATGCCTCTAGGATATCTATACAGTAAACCAGTCTCTGCTAACTTGTTAGTTCAGCAGAATTCTCATTCTTTGTTAAGGACACTACCTTTAATAAAATCTTCTACAACCAAAACTTAAAGTTCTCTGTAGAAATGTGAGTGATTAAATCAGCTTAAGTTGAAAAGCAGCACCATGCTAAGGGTTTTGATGTGGAGGTTGTCAATATTTTAAATATAATAACGTACGCATTATGCTGTCTCTATGGAGCTTCATTGTATGTAGTTTTTGTTTGTTTCGGAGCCATAAAAAATTAATCGTGGAGGATGGGCGAAGACCCACCCTATGCCCACTGCAGCCTGGCAACCCACAGGGCCATTCAAGGTGCACGAATTCATGCACTGGGCCCCTAATAGTTAATTAAAGTCTAGAAAATATAATGTAAACATTATGTGTTTATAAGTTTATCTTTATTTCTTAGATTCCAAGACAGGGGAGACAGCGAATAAGCGACGGAAGGGTGCAAAAAATAGCGCAACAGCTGCCAAGGTGGCACTGATGAAGTTAAAGATGCACGCTGCCGGGGAGAAGTCACTGCCCCAGGTGGGTCTTGGAGACTTTGAAAAACAAGATGTTTACAAACCGTTAAAGCCCCTCTCTACTCCTCCCTCCCATCTCGTAACAACTAACCTGAACCTGATGTATGTATTTCCTTTAACTAGTGTTACAGGTGTGTAGCTACATAAAAAATGGAACATCATTTTGTGAGATTTTCACTTTATAGAAATGGCAGGGAGCCATACGTATCCTTCTTCAGCTCTTTTTTCTTTTTCACTTGGCATCATGTTTTTAGCATTTATCCACGTTGACACATTAATCTAGTTTGTTCATTGTGATAACTGCATATCCCATAGAATGAACATACCACATTTAATCATTCTTGTGATGAACAATATTCAGAATTTTTCCAAGTTTTTTTGTTAGTATTATATATTGTTCAACAGTGAATGTCCTTGTGTGTATATAAATAACATCTCACTAGGACAGTTTCTTTTTTTTTTTTTTTTTTTTTTAATTTTATTTATTTTTTTTTATTTTGAAGTAATATTTAATATTAACATTGTGAGTTATTATCTTTTGCATATCCTAGTTACACATTTCAAAAGCCGTAATATAATTTGCGTTTTATACAGCAACCCATTACATACATACATACATACATACATACATACATACCTTAACACAGTTTTACCTAACCTTACACTGGTGTTTTCTATTTTGTTTTAAAGAATACTGATTTTATAACCCCTGAAGGATTGAGACCCTCAGATTGAAAAATGCTCCCTAGGGATGATATGGAGAAATAGAGCATCTGGGTCCTGGGCGTGGCTTATCCTCAGGTTTCCTGGATACTGTCAACTTAGTGCTCAGTGGCTGTGCTCATTTTTCTTCTTCCCGTCTGAGGGTTTCAATGTTTCTTGCCAACACTGGGTGTTATTCATTGTTACCAATCTGATAGATCTGAAGTTATGTCTCACTGAGGTTTAAAGGTAAATTTCCCTTTTAACAATTAAGGTTCAGGTATTTTGCATGAGTTTGTTGGCTATTGACTTTCCTCTGTGAATTATTTGTTCATATCCTTTGCCTATATTTTCTGTTGGGTAGTTGCACATTGTTTTTTTACTCTAGATGTTCTGAATTTTTTACTACATGTGTTGCACATTTCCTCTCAATTTGTGGTTTATCTTCTCTTTGTTTTTTATCTCTTGAGTGGTCCATACTTTTAAAATTTAAATGTTCAAATTTATTAGTGATTTCAAAATAAATTAAGATATTTTCTTACATTTTCCTTTAAAAGCTTTATTTGCTTATTTTGTGTAGCTCTTTATTCCATTTAATTATAAGTAGAAATAAAGATTTACACACACACATACCTGAATGGGTTACCTATGGCTATAAATTAAGGTACTGAGAGTTCACCCTTGTAATTATACCTCAGTCTCCTACCATATAGTACACATGGGACTAGTTGGGAATGTCTGTCCATCTTTGCATCAATGTCAAAGTGGCTTATTATCATAGCTGTGTAAGAAGCAGGACACATTTCTCCAACTTACTTTTTGCTTTCAACTGTGTCTATTCTTGGCTCTTTATTCTTTTGTAAAAAATTGTAGGATCACTTTGTCCTGTTCTATGAAATTGTGATTGATAGGAATTATACTGAATTTTCTATTAGAACAATTTACCTCTAGAATTGTGACTCTTCTCATCCTATCCATGTTTGAAGTCTATTGTTCCAATTTTTCTTTAGGTCTTCTTTTCTGTCTTTAAGTAACATCTGTAATGCTTACCATCCATATCTATATGTCTTTTCTTAATTATATTCTTAGGTTCTTCATAATTTTTGTTGCCATTGTAAATAATAACTTTTTAAAAACTTAACGCTCCCTTAATTGGTTATGCTGGTTATTGTTTGTTGTTCTCTCCTGCAAAGAAACCTCTCGTTCCCATGGTTTATAGGCTTTCTGGGAAGTTTCCATGCAGTTATATTTTCTGCAAATGACAGTCTTGTGTTTGGATGTTTTCTTTTTCTCAAATTTTCTTTCCTCTTACTCCTGCTTTTCATCATTATTTGTCTTAATGCATGGGTTGAACTCTATCAACAGGACTGAATAATATAGGCATCTTCATCACAGTTCTGACTTTAATCCAAATGAGCCTGAAGTTTCAACATTAAATATTATCTTTATTGTAGGTTATTTTCAACCTATTTGTTTGGGTGTGTTTTTCAGGTAACTTTAATTTGATGTAGTTGCAAACACAAAATAGTAGCAAGAATAGTACAAATAATTTTTCTATATTTTTTACTCAAAGGTACCAGTTAATTACATTTTGCCTTTACTTGCTTTATCATTTGCAGTCTCTCTCTTTGTACATATGTCTACACATGTGCACCTGCTTTTGTATGTGTGTGCATACTAATTTTTTGTTTGCTTATCTATCAGTTTCTGAGGCAGGTGTGTTAAAATCTGGAGCTGTGGTTTTGTCAGGTTTTTCTTGTAATTCTAATGGTTTTGCTGACTTGTATCTTACCAGGTGTGTGGAATTCTGCATTATTATATCTTTATTAATTTTGCTTCTGATGCTGTTTTGAATTATAATAATACTAAGGCCCAGTGCACGAATTCTTGCACCTTGAAAGGAACTTTGGGCTGCCAGGCTGCAGTGGGCACAGGGGCAGGTCTTGGCTCATTCTCCACGCCACGCTGACCCCCCCCCCCCAAGCCCTTCCCACCATGCCTTCCCCCGCCCCCGTCAGGTCACCTATCTGCTGGAAGCCCCACTCCCGCTGCCACCACTCCCATGCGCTGATGGCGCCTGCCCTCGATGACAGCACGGAGCAATTGAGGCCAGTGCTGTCAGTGGGTATGAGCAGTGGCTGCTGCCCCAATCGCCCCTCAGGAGCAGGGGAGGTGGAGAAGTCCTCAGGGACAATTAGGGCTGGCAGCCACCACTCACACCCACTGACAGTTCCGAGTGATTGGGACCGGCACTGGGCACTGGCAGCGGGTACGAGTGGCAGCTCTGGTGCTAGCTACAGGTGTGAGGGGGGCTGGTGCTGGCATCAGGTATGAGCAGGGCTGGCAGCGGCAGCAGGTGTGAGCTCTCGGCAGGATCGAGGTGCACAGGAGCAAAAAATTTTCAGTAACCACCAGAGGCTCACCCCAATGTCAGCGACTGGTGCCCCCCCTTGTCTGGTGCCCCCCAATTACCTGCTTCACCATCCTGCTGCGGCCGATGCCCAGCATGTTCCACGCTTTCCCATCCGCTGCTGATGCCAGCCAGGTTCTGCATGTGCCCCCTGGTGGTCAGTGCACATCATAGTGACCCGTTGTTCAGTTGTTCCACCATTCTGTTTAGTTGCATATTAGGGTTGTATATATATAGATTGTTTCACTAGTTTTCTTTTGGTTAATATTTAACTATTGCATCTTTTTTTTTTTTATCATGTTATGTTCACCTTTTCTATGTTGTTTTGTTTTAGGGTGTCTCTTGTAAGCAGCATATAGCTGGACTTTGTTTTTCTAATCCAGTTTGCTAGTATTCCTCTTTTATAGGTGAGTTGGATACATTTATATATATTGTGATCATTGATACATTTGAATGTTTATCTTCCATCTGATGACTTTTGCTTATCATCCTTATTTCTCTTTCCTGTCTTCTTTTATATTGATGGAATTTTCTATGTTTTCTTCTATTCTACTTTTTTAGAAACCATTGATTGTATTTTTCTTTTAGTGATTATCCTTACTATTTTCCTTTTTAAAAATCTTTTTTTAATGTTTTAAATTTGCAAGGGTAGTACACACTTTTAGCAAGTGTAACTATTAAGAGATGTGTAAAGGAAAAGGCAAACTTCCCCTTTAGGATTCATACTGGATTTGCATTACATGTTATTTATCAGTTTTGAGAGAAATAATGTTTTTATTATGTGGCCTTCCTATCCAGGAGCCTCCTGTGTCCTTCCAGTTATTCAGACCACGTTTCTTGTCTTGCATAATATGCTTGTCTTCATTTAAGTCTCTTTCCTTATTTATTTTCATTTCCAATTATTTTTGGGTTTTATTTCTGTTGTGAACAGAATATTTATGTCCACCTCTATTTTCAGATACTTACTGCTAATACAGAGAAAAGAGTCTTGATTTCTGTATATTTATCTGATTCAGCCACATCATCAAACTCTTAGGCTTAATTTTAGAAGTTTCTTTTTCACCATTAGTGCCTTTGATTTCCTAGATATGCAGTCATACCACATTAGCAGCTTTTATTTTATAATAATTATATTAGTTATTTCATTTTCTTCTACATTATCTAGAATCCCCAATATAAGGCATTATAGTAATGGTGATAACAGGCATGTGTTTATATTTTTTATTTTTTATGTATAAAATGAAAACCCAATTTTCCTCTTTAAAGTTACATCCTTTCAAATAGCACAGGAAGCTTGACATGCCTGTCCACTCGAATGTCCCCCACCCATCATCTTTGTTCACCCATGAAGACTATTGTCACCAATATCTATGTAAATCTACACATTTTTCCAGTTTCTTCTTTCCTTAGGACTTACATTTATTTTTCTGAGTTCCATTCTTTGGCGATTCACTCAGAGACTTTGCAGGTAAACTCTTTCAGTCTTTCTTGTCTGAGAGTGCCCTATTTTACCTTCGCTCCAGCTGGTTGTCTATCAGACTCTCACTTCCTTGGAGCTGCGAACAGTGGCCTCTGTGATCTGTTATAGGGGAAATATTTGCTGTCTCTTTATTTTTCAATCCTATATGGTTAAATGTCTTTTTTTTTAGTGGCTTTTAAGACTTTACCTGCGGTATTGTTCAATTTCAGTGCAATGTTTCTGGGCATGGATTTATTTTAATTGCCCAGTCTGGCCCTTGAGATACATTTAAAATTTTAACTTATGTCTTCATTTTTTGAAAATTTTCTCATTTTTCTCTGACTATTGCTGCTCCATCATTTCTTCTCTTCTGAAACTCTTGTTAGCTTCAGACATATTTGGGGACATAGTTTCTATCTTGCTGTCTCCTTGTGCTACATTCTAGATGAGTTCCTCAACTTCATCAAGTAAGCCTTTAAAAAAAAAAAAAAAAAAAATATATATATATATATATATATATATATATATATATATATATTATTGATTTTTTTACAGAGAGGAGGGGAGAGGGATAGAGAGTTAGAAACATCGATGAGAGAGAAACATTGATCAGCTGCCTCCTGCACACCCCCTATTGGGGATGTGCCCGCAACCAAGTTATATGGCCTTGACCGGAACCAAACCAGGGACCTTTCACTTAGCCAAACCGGTTAGAGCATCAAGTAAGCCTTCTTATGGAAGATAGAGAAATTTATCCTGTTTAATCTTTTAATTTCAGAAACCGTGTTTTTTTTTAATATTTATATTTCTTATTAGCTATAATATTTATAGCTTCTTTTATTTCTGCCTGTTTTTGGCTTCATAACTTCTTGTTCCTTTTTTATGGATATTATCCCTTAACTCAATGGTTCTCAACCTTTCTAATGCTGCGACCCTTTAATACAGTTTCCTCATGTTGTGGTGACCCCCAACCATAAAATTATTTTCATTGCTACTTCATAACTGTGATTTTGCTACTGTTATGAGTTGTAATGTAGATGTCTGTGTTTTCCAATGGTCGTAGGAGACCCTGCTTGCTGTTCTCAACTAGCGGTTCCCACAGGTTGAGAACTGCTGTTGTAGAGACTTGACTTGTCTCATTTTTAAATGTCTTTTTCACACTTAGTTATTTCCGTCCTGGGTTTGCTATGAAATTTCAGTTACAGATTGTGCCTGTTGGTCTTGAATAGGAACTCTCTTCTGGTCTCTCTCTGCCCACTCACCTTTCTGCATTTCTGTTCCCTTTGTGATCGTCAAGCATATTTATCTTTTTTTAGGTGAGGCTATATCCTTTAATATTTTCTTTTCATATTTATACTCTTATTACTTTGATTATATAGAGTTGGCCCAGAGTTTAAACTTCCAATGATTTATCTTATTTTTTAATCTTGTTATCTGTAATAACAAACTCCACTGGTCTTCAACAAATCTAAACTCTGGTGCTGGAAATGGTCTTGAATCTAATGGTTCCTAAAATAATTGTAATCTTTCCTCTATGATTTAGAGATGCTCCTTTTATCCCAATAATTTCATTGTGACAGGAATTGGTCTGTAAAGCCAACTCTTTTTAAAGCAATTTTCAGGAATCAAGGAACACCTTTGCTTTTACTTTTTCCCCCCTCTGCATTTAACTTAGCATGACAATACAACATGAGGAAGCATATAGTGTGTAGCATACTGGAGGGACCATCCAAATCTTCTATGAAACTTGTCTTTTGTTTCTTCCTTTTTTTTCTAGCTTCTTTATTCTCAAAAGCCCTGCTATCTCTAAACACGTTGTCCTTCATGTAGGAGGATGTGTTTTATGTCTTTCATTTGCAAACGAAGAAATTTGATACCAACTAGCATAATGAAAACTTTGCCCCTCGTGTGATGGGAGCCGCGTTGATCTGGTCACCAGGTGACTGAGCTCCACGACGCAGATGCGGTAGAAAGAGCCCATTCTTTCCCATCCCACAGGACTTTTTCCTGTTGGCTCAGGAATGGTGGAGGGGCCTGGGTGATAGATGTGAGCAATTCCAGGTTTAATCCAATGCGCCTTACAATCTCAGGAGACAGAGAGCTGCCCTTTCCACCCCAGCCTTTGAGTGTAAAACCCAGGGAAGACCTCAGCTGGCTTACCCAGGTCATATAACCTGTTTTTGCACAAGTCACCCTGGCCAGGTCTTAAGTCCTCTATCTATGCATTCAGTGGCTGCTGGGCAACTCTGACTGGTACTCCCACCACCAGTTTTACCATCAATGGGCAGTTCCTCGCTGACCAGGAGAAGAGAGGAAGTGCCAAAAACAGCTGTCTAGTTCATGTAGGTAATCTACTGTAACTGTTTTGTTCCTACAGACGGAAAGAGTCTACTTGCAGGTGTTCTTACCCAAGGGGAGCAAAGAGAAGAGCAAACCCATGTTCTTCTGTCACCGATGGAGCGTGGGGAAGGTCATCGACTTTGCAGCTTCTTTAGCCAGTCTCAGAAACGACAATAACAAGTCCACGGCCAAGGTACCAGCTGGCGGTAACAGCTCTGCCGTAAGGGTTTAGGCTCTGCTACACACACGTTTGTTGGTTACCCTATGGTGTGTTCCCTTCTCTCTTAACAGAAGCTAAGGCTCTGTCACATGACCTCTGGGGAAGCGTTGCCCTTGGACCACACGCTGGAAGCCTGGATGGCCAGGGAGGACTGTCCTCTGTACAACGGCGGGAACGTCGTCCTGGAATATCTTAGTGAGGAAGAACAGTTCTTAGAGGATGTCGACGCTTACTTGGAATAGTCATTCAAGGATCCAACCCAGCAATCATGAGGAAAATTCTCTGTGAAGTCAGTTTCTTTTACTACAAATACTATAACTATTTTTTTAAGTTGCTCTTACATTGTTTTTCATTATGTCATAATGCCCATTATCAGTTTTCTACAACTAAATTTAAATTTTTTGTTTTAAAGTTTGTGAACTGACAGTTATTGGCACATTACTGCATTTAATTCGCTTTTATTAGGTGTGTAGCTCGTGAGGTTGTGCGCTGTGGTTTGACTGAGACTGCTCCGTGTCACCTGACTCCGGAGCCACACTGAGTGTTTAGACGTGGATCCTTTTGGGACCTTGGCATTCTGAGAAGAGGAGGAAAGATGCTCTAAGGACACCTGCATCTCCTCTTCCTGAGCCGGTGACAGGCAAGCGCAGCACTGTGGTGCCTGGGTGGGGCTGTTCCGTGTGCCTGCTTCACGGCGTGGGCATTGGTGTGTGAACGTGAGTCAGGAACCAAGGGCTTGTCTCATCCACTCTGCCGAGATTTTGGATGAGGAATCTCAGGCCTGGGGAGGAGAAGTGGTTTTCCTGCTATCACCTACCTGCTGTGGGGCGTGGCTCTCCTCCTGGAAGTCACCACCTGTGTCTGTGTGTGGGAATGGACTCAAACGAGAAGAAAGATGGCGAGCTCAACTCAATTGCAGTCTCTTATACCCACCAAAGCAAAGTACATGCCAAGAGTGACTACATTGTCCCTCACCAAAGGACTACTATACAGAGGGAACAGAAATTATTTCTGTTTGTTCATTGTCCCTTTGCTATCCTAATTGTCATGGACTTGCAGAGTGGCTTTAGGTTTAATTAAAGGAATAAATTCAGAATGTTCGTTTTATCTCTAATTTTTCATCATAATTTTCATGCAAAGAATGGAGCTAGCTTCTGACTTTCATCAGCTGCTGATACACTCATGTATTAGTGTGATTATTTGAGTACCTACTAAGGATAAGGATTTGATTCTGGTTTCCATGGTAACTATCGTGCAAAGCAGTGTGACAAGTACCAAATGAACAGATGGGTAGTAAGTATAGCTGTGTTCCAACAGCTCTTTTTCACAAACTGTACGAGCAGAAGTAGAAATAATCCTTAAATCTATTCCCAGATACCAGAAGTTTTCAAACACATGAATACCTTAGCATGTGCCATAATTACATAATTACAGGTCTCATGATTTGGCTAAGGCTGAACATGGGAGAGAAAGTCCCATTGGAGCTGAGCAGAGTGGAAGGAAGAGGCAGGAACTGAGTCCCGTGGAGGTGAAGGCGGAGCTGGCCTGGCAGTGATCAGGCCGGAAGGAGAGCCAGGGCTGGTGTCAGTGGGCATCTGCGTCCCTGTCGAGGGAGGTCAGATTCCAGGTAGCGGCCGGCTGTCTGGAAGGCACAGGCACCAGCCTGCTCTGAGGCTCCCGGGACGGCTGCAGCATGAGCCGTCTCCTGAAGATTCAGGTTGTGGGCGAGAGGAAAGCCGGAGCTCTGCACTGCCCAGTGACTGACAGGACAGCTTTCAAGGACGTAGTTTTAGGCTCTCCATTGAGTATGCTCAATGAAATTTTAAGTTTTGCCTGTTCCCACCAGATCCAAGTACCTTTCCAACTAGATAGTCTTGCAGATGACTAGAATTATAAGTAGGAAACCCACACACAGCTTTAAATTCAGATACTGAGGCTGTAACAACAGAATGGTACAAATGAGCTCCAGTTGAAATGTGATTATCCAGGAAAGACGTGTGGCGGATAGATCATTAAACTTTTCTAGATGTGCCCGTTTTATTCCCTACAGATCTCCAGTAAGGGCAGGACCAGAGGGCCTGGTGAAGGGAAAGGGTGCAGATAGCAATCAGGAAGACAAAACGCCCCTTCCTCACACCAGGCTGTGATCTGAGCAACAAAAGTTGGGAGCTAAAATACTTGCTCACGTGTTGTACAGATGGCTTTGGTTTCATGAAGTTTCTGTTTGCTTTTTGTCTTTTTTAAACTAGGAACGTTCTCTAGGATATCAACTGAGATAACCAGACACATTAGTTCTGTTTTCCATTTTCAGCATCAGCCAATGTCTTGATGTGGTACATGGAAATACAACTTAAGAACTACAAATTCTATTGCATTTTTTTAAAGTTTAAAATTTTATTTTTTTAATTACAGTAAACATTCAGTATTATATTAGTTGTAAGTGTAAAGTCTACTGTATTTGAAAGACTACGTAATCTACATAGGGTAAGTAGAATTTTTAAAAACTAAAAAGTGTCCAGTAAAATTGCCTTAACAATTTTTGAGGAACAAATGTTATAGTGTAAAAATACTCCAAACTGTCCTTCTTGCATAGAACACAGATTCTGCCTTGATTACATGAAGGATCTGCTGAAGTAGGAATATATTCAGAGACTACCAGGTCTGTAGTTTAATACAGGGTGTCCAAAAAAATGTATATGCACTTTGAATGATTATAAAGGCAGTGTTTATTAAAAACAGTTATTTTTCAAAATTTAAAAGAATCTACAGAAATGCCTGGCCAGTGTGACTCAGTGGTTGAGTGTTGACCCAGGAACCGAAAGGTCACGGTTCCATTCCTGGTCAGGGCATATACCTGGGTTGCAGGCTCAATCCCTAATGGGTGTGCAGGAGGCAGCTGATTAATGATGTTTCTCTCTCATCGATGTTTCTTTTTGTTGTTAATATCACCAGAGGATATTTTTCTGTTGATTTTTAGAATGGAAGGCAGAAGGAGAGAGAAACATCAATGTGAGAGGCACATCCTCTGCATGCTCCCCAACCGGGGCCCCGGGATCTGGCCTGCAACTGAGGTTCATGCCCTTGCCTGGATTTGAACCCATGACCCTTAAGTCATAGGGCTGAGGCTCTATCCACAGAGCCAAACCGGCTAGGCTCTCATCATTGTTTCTATCACTCTATCCCTCTTCTTCTCTCTCTCAAAATCAATACAAAAATATTTAAAAGAATCTACAGAAATAAATAAACTTTTTTGTCAGTGTCTGTTTTCAAACTGACCACCGTTCTGGGCCAGGCACTGCTGATAACTGGAAGCAGTGGAATTGCAAACATCAAGAATCATTTTGTTCAATATTTGTGTGCCTTCAATTCATCAACTGTTGCCGGTTTTTTACCTTGAACTTTACCTTTTATGTATCCCATAAAAAGAAGTCTAGTGGCACTTAAGGATAAATTTTCTTTGTTCAAAGCTTAGCCTGGCTTCACCCATTATTTCAAATCAGTTAAACCTGAAAAGAAATGAAAATTAAGTGAGTTATCAGTTGTTAAAAGTATATATACATTTTTTGGGGACACCCTATAGTAAGTAGACAGTCACAGTGATTTTTGTTCTTTTCTTTCCTTTTTATCTGCTTAGTATCTGAACCCACTCTTGTTTGGGAATCCATCATTACGGGAACATTGGGGTGTAAGTCCTCACCAGAAAACCCCCAATACTTTTCCTTATTTCCGGCAGGCAAGGCATCGGCATCTGACCTTAGTTGGCCAGCGGGATGACATGCCCTGAGCTGTGACTAGGGTGGGTATTACAGAATGGGTGCCGTGGCCTCCCAGTGCCCCAGGGTGTCAGGCTCCAGGTGTCCAGCGGCAGGTGCCTTTGGCCATACATCTGGCCTCCCACTTTCCCTCGGTTCCCAAACTCCCTGGTTACCATCCAGGAAATTGTTTTTCTACTTAAGGATTCCAAAGCTAGTTTCAAATTTTGCCTAACTGACACATTCTCTCTAGAGTTGTAGGAAATCTATTAGTCGCCTCGGGATATGGCAAGGCTAGTTTCTGGGCTCTGCAGTGTCTTGAGTCTTGCTCAGGAGCCACGGGAGCGTGCCACAGTGGGGAGGGCGGAGCCGGTGACTGGCTGGATTGCTCTGCTCCACCCTGCTCCAGGCCCAGCGCCCAGCAACGCGGCCGATAAATACTCATTTGACCTGACTCACCCACCTGCAGGCCTCTCAATATCTATTTTATATTTTTTCATCATGACTCTTTCTAGTGTAGAGTTTCCATAGGAAGAAAGAAAACTAAAAAATGTGTAAGTTTTTAAATGCAGGTGAAGAGGAGGCTGTTTTCTCTTTAGCAGAAAGGAGGAGATGAGGAAGAGATTGGGTTTCTGCTGTGAGCCGCTGACGCTGCAGAGTGTCCGGCTGTGCATTTTCCTAACTACAGGTTGGGCGGGTTGTGTCATTCACGAGGTAGCGAGGTGTTGTTTGAGAGTCCGGGCCCTCCTCCTGGACTTTGATCCGGCAAAACAGCTCCTGCCTCAGCCTCAGCCCGGCACTGGGGCGCCTCTCCCAGGAATGCTCTCCAGTGGCCTTTGATGCGTTCGCATATCTGATTGATTTAAGCTTTCAAAATGATTAGAAGCCTTTTTATTGTCTTGCTTTTTTTGACGCTGGGAGAAGCAAGGAAGCCATTTCTCAGTTTTCAGAGCACAGAGAGGACGGAACTACTGTTCTTCACAAAGACCGAAGATACCATCCTCCTCCGATCCACCTACCGAGATAAGCAGCCCCACGCCAGCTTCCTCTCCGTGCGGCCCCAGGACCCGGGCGTGCTGCGGGTGGTGAACGTGACCAGGGCCACCGCGGGGGCCACAGACTTCATCATAAAGCTAGTGGCAGAGGAAGAAGGAGAGACGAACTTGACCATTCAGCTGTGGGACTCGGACGGTAGGCAAGAAAGACTGGTTGAGGAAATAAAGAACGTGAGAGTCACAGTGCTCAGACAGAGGCCAGACGGTCTCTTCCAGGCGCCAATGCGCATGAATAGGAATGTCCTCCTGCTCCTTCTGCCCCTGGTCCTGGTAAATAAGTGCGCGTTTGGCTGCAAGATTGAGCTGCAGGTGTTCCGCGTGGTGTGGAAGAGGCCTCTGCCGGTGATTTTGGCGGCAGCTACCCAGTTTTTTCTGATGCCATTTTGTGGGTATCTTTTGACTCAGGTTTTGGCCTTGCCTGAGGCACTGGCTTTTGGGTTTGTCATGACCTGCACGTGCCCAGGAGGGGGCGGGGGCTATCTCTTTGCTCTGCTTCTGGAAGGAGATATCACGTTGGCCATTTTGATGACCTGCACATCAACGGTCTTGGCCCTGGTGATGATGCCTGCCAATTCCTACCTGTACAGCAGGGTCTTAGGGCTGTCCGGGACATTCCACGTTCCTGTTTCCAAAATTATGTCAACGCTCCTCTTCATACTTGTGCCTATATCAGCTGGGATAGTCATCAAGCATAGAATACCTGAAAAAGCCAGCCTCCTGGAGAGAAGCATTAGACCTCTGAGCTTAATTTTGATGTCTGCAGGGATTTACTTGATGTTTAGGATGGGATCGGTGTTTCTAAGAACAGATAGCCCAGAGGTGCTTCTGTTGGGTGCCTTAGTGCCCGCGCTGGGCCTGCTGTTCGGGTACTGCCCCGCTAACATCTGCAGGCTGCCCCCCGCCGTGTGCAAGACTGTGGCCATCGAAAGCGGGGCACTGAACAGCTTCTTGGCTCTGGCCATCATCCAGCTCGCCCTCCCCCGGGCCCAGGCCGACGCCGCCTCCGTGGCTCCCTTCACGGTGGCGCTGTGCTCTGGGTGTGAAATGCTGCTGCTGCTCCTGGTGTACCAGGCGAAGAAATGGTGTGTCCGTATCACGGGAGAGAAAAGGAGGCACCTTCCCCGCTCCAGCAATCAAAGCACCGCCACATGCCCACTCTGAGGTTCTGTGGGGTCAGAGGATATCTACCGTGATGCTGCTCGCAGCCCCCTTCTGACCTGATTGAAAACGGCACGAGGGGGAGGCATGTACATTATAATGTGTACATCATCATAACATGCATTCTCACCTGAAGCATGGGAGGAGGTCACTGCGCTGTGTTGGTCTGGAAGTGCTTTATAGAGTGGGATTTGATTATGATATTTCATTACGGTCTTTTAAGTGGGAAAGAGCAACTTAAAAACACCTCCTGTAGTGATTCTGAGAATATACTAACTTTTTACAGAAGGGCAGTCCCTACATTCTCACAGTATGAGTTAATTACTAATATACAAGTAACAATTTGTATATTAGGCTTTTATTATATAGACTAGAAGCCCTGTTAGTTTGCCAACTGACAAGACAGCCAAGGTCCTTTTTTTTCTAATTTCACCAAATTCAATATACAAATACCAAGATTTATGAAAGACTAGAGGCCTGGTGCACGAAATTCATGCACGGAGGGGGGTGTCCCTCAGCCCAGCCTGCACCCTCTCCAATCTGGGATCCCTTGAGGGATGTCAAACTATCCATTTAGGCCTGATCAGGACAGCTGGCTCCCAACCGCTTGCCTGCCTCTGCCCCTAATCACTTCTGCCTGCCAACCTGATCACACCTTAACCACTCCCCTGACAGCCTGGTCGATGCCTAACTGCTCCCCAGCTGGCCCAATTGCCCTCAACTGCCCTTCCTGCTGGCCTGGTCACCCCTAACTGCCCTTCCCTGCAGCCCTGATCACCCACAACTGCCCTCCCCTGCAGGCCTGCTCATCCCTAACTGCCCTCCCTGCTGGCCTGGTCATCCCTAACTGCCCTCCCCTGCTGGCCTAATCACCTCTAACTGCCCTCCCCTGCAGGCCTGGTCCCTCCCAACTTCCCCCCCTTCCTTTAGGATTGGTCCCCCACAACTGCCCTCCCCTGCTGGCCTGGTCTCCCCCAACTGCCCTCCTCTGTTGGCCCAGTCACCCCTAACTGCTCTCCCTGTTGGCCTGGTCTCCCCCAACTGCCCTCCTCTGTTGGCCTGGTCTCCCCTAGCTGCCCACAACTGTCCTCCCCTCCAGACCATCTTGTGGTGGCCATTTTGTGTCCACATGGGGGGCAGCCATCTTGTATTTTGGAGTGACAGCAATTTGCATATTGCTCTTTTATTAGATAGGCTGAACTTCAGCCTGGTGGTGGCTCATTATTCACTTTATAAAATGATAATTTCCCTCATGTAATCTTTTACTGCTGAGTCCTTTCAACAGAAACCTCCATTTAGGGGTAGAAAATATAATTAAACTTGTACCAATTTAACTCATATGCACTTCCAAGAGCATATTCTAGTGATCGGGAGTCGAGAGACCTGCATTCAGGTCTATTTATCATTTACCTTGAGAGCTAGCAAGACACTCTGTACTTTGTTTTTCACATCGGTAAAATGAAAAGGTTCAATTGAGGTTTAAGATTTTGCTCAGCTCCTGAGTCTGTGGTTGTGGCTTGAAACTCCAGGACCTAGCAGCATGGCAGGGTGATAGGCGGAGAGAAGGTTCAGGCTGATGAAAAGAGCCACACCCGGCCACTGTAGTGGAAGCAGCGATCAGCATTTGGCTTCTTGAGTGCAGGGACCCTGCATTCTTTGAATTCCTATTGGTGTTTAGCACATGCCTTGAATCGAGTAAGTGCTAATTAAACATTTATTGGATTAATTAATCAATAATATCTATTACAGTCAAGGTCATATGCTCCAAGCCAGACTGTGCCTGGGTCTGCCATTTCAGCTGTCACCCATCAGCTAGATGACACTGGTCAAATGACTTAATCTCTCTCCGCCTAATTCATGTGGAATGTGGGGTGAGGATCGTACCTACCTGTTGTGAGGGTGGAATGAGTTAATAGGAGCAAGGCTCTTGGAGCTGCCCAACACACAGGTTATTGTTACTCTATCTGCTTGGTCTTCCATGTCAAAATGCACTCTGTCCTTGGACTTGGAATCTATTTTATGTCTCATAGCTGTATTGTGGAAAACAGAGATTTTTACCTAATAAAACTTATCTCATTTGGGTTAGGAAACTTTTTTTAAGTTTCACCCCTTAAGAGGGATGATTCTGTGATATGTTGTCTATGATATATACTAGTGGTCTGGTGCACAGATTCATGTACATTGAAAGGGAAATAATTACAAGAAATATTTTAATATTGCTATTTGCCCTTTCTCTGTAATGGAAGTGTCATCTGGTCATAGCTGTCACTGGTCACCGTCTGCGGGCAATCAGTGGGGCAATTGGGATTCCACTTGCACCTACCTTGTCCTGGCACCGCCCGCTCACCTGCTCCACCATCCTGCTTTGGTCCTGCTCTCTTCAGGGCCCATTAGGACAGCAGCACCTCCACTGCCACCTGCTGCCAGTGCCATGTTGCTGACATCCACCATGTTCTGTGCTGCCCCCTGGTGATCAGCGCACATCATAGTGAGTGGTTGAACTGGTCGAGGGGACAATTTGTATATTAGGCTTTTATTATATAGATTCTCAGATCTGGGAAAGCTGTTGGCATTACAGGGCACATCAGGGCTTAACCAATATCCGCAGCTCCAACCTATTGATATTTTACATCAAAACGAGTGCTGTTAGCTACCCAGGAGACTCCACCCCCTGAGGACCTGCACATTGGCCTGTGAACTTTTTAAAAACAATCAGCCCCCTAAACAACTCTTACCCAAGAAAGTGATGTGAACTTGATTTTTTTTTTTTTTAACTGAAAGGAGTTGCCATTTACAAGCAGTCATCTTTTGGGAGTAAGTAGGCTTAGCAAGATACCCAAGTGCAAGTACAGGGCAGTTGGGTACCTTTTGCCCTTGCAGAAGCCGACCTGAGCACTGGCTGACAGAGGCCCTCCTCCCATGAAGCTTCTCCACGTCCAGTCAGGTGTCTGGGGAGAGCCAGGGCTTCAGGTCCCCCTTCCACTCTGAGGTGAGCATCATTAGCACCTCTCTCAGGGATGAAGGCAGCTGGGGAAAGAGATACCAAAGGCCCCCTGAGGGACTCCCCATCAGTGAAATGTGGGACGGTGACTGGGCTGCACACCATGGGGTGTTTAGTCTCATCCTGGGTGGCTGTGGCTGGAGCCTGGCCCCTTACCTTGGCGTGGTAGATCTTTGGGATTGGGAATAATGACTGCAAATACAGCTTTAAAAATTGCCCCTTTGAGAACTCAGGAGCAACATACCAGGTACTGAGGACCCTGCAGCCACCGGGACTCTCAGACAAAAATCTTGGATTTTGTAGAACCAGTTTGCAATACGTCCAAAACAAGAGCCGAGTGCTGGACGGCCTTGTGCTCTGGAGGACTCTTCATTGGCTTTCAGGCCTTTGGGAGCAGTGACTTGTGAATAATCAAGAGGCAGCAGCAGAGGCTCCTAGAAAAAGGCTGGGCCTCCTGCTCATTGAGGTAAGAAGCGTGAAGTGATTTTAATTTAAGAGAATAGGACATTTGATCTTCTACCCATGAGCAGACCAGTTCCTTTCAAGGAGGTTTACAGAGGGTGCTGATGATATTTCTGCAAATGCCTGGGAAATTTTATTTGCTTAGGAATCAACTCGTCACCATGTATTTGGCAAGTTTAAGTGTCTGACAACAAAGAACCACAAAAGCTAATTTCTGAGGTTTTTCTCTTCTTTTTTATTAGGAACATACACGCATATTTTGCTAGACAAATCAAGATATCCAATTCAGATACTCAAGGCATTTCCAGAAGAATAAAAACAAAATCCTGGCTCTTTGTGAGGTTTGAGAATCGGCCATTCATCTGAGAGCTCGTGCATCTGCAGTGTGTGATGACAACACCTTGTCCTTTGGTGAAAAAAAAAAAAAGAAAAAAAGAAAAAGAAAAAAAGAAAAGGAAGCAACCTCCTGACAAGCAAGGAGCCAAATAACCTCCTTTCTGGTTTCTGATGTGGCCGGGATGTCTCAGTGCTGTGCACTGCTTTTCCACTAACACAGGCAGACTCTATATCCCACAGTGCCAGACCTGCTAGCTGAAGACCCCAGGATCCCAGACTGGCCCTTGTTTCACACTGGGCAGCCTTGTCATGCCAGGCAGTCCCGGAGTGTGGACTCTGGGTCCGTGTCCCACTCTCTGCCTTTGCTGTGTGACCTGAGGACAGATGACTTTTCTGAGCCTTCGTTTCCTCATTTGTAAGATGGAACTAGTCATATCTTCATCCTGAAGATATTGTATTGTCTGAAGCATGGTAAGTCCTCACTAAATGGTAATGTTAACATAAAAACATTCAAACCTGTAAAGAACCTTTGTGAGTTTATTTAAGCCAAACTGTCGACAGTTGCCAGGAAGCAGAACCTCAAAGGGTTGAGATAATGCTTCAGAGAGGGCGGTTTCTCATCTATTTTTATACATTTCAATCAAAGGAGGGGACATAGGTGGGTTGCATGAAATCCATTGGTGGTAGATTAGGGAGGTGGGAGAAAGCAAAGCGAGTGGGGCCGGGTGGGGGAGAGGAATCCTGGGATTGGATAAAAGGTGAAGTGATAGACTCATACTTAGGAGGTGCAAGAACAATGAACATAATGAAGGAATTTGTGGTCTCTGTCCTGGCACCCAGCACATTAAATTGTGCTCCAAGGGATCTAGAGAAAGGGAGGTTACAAGACACCCAGACATTTTAAGGATATGTTATTAAAAATGCAAAAAGACAGATAGACTAGCTTAGGTAAAGGTTGACCTTGTCAGTGAAGATACCCACCTAGGACGGAACTACCCACCATAACTGCGTTCAGTTACAGTTTAATTTCAGACCATCCTTGTGGTGACTTTAGGTCTTGGAGTTTGCAAGACGGCCACGCAGGCCTCCCTTGAGCCGTCAGGTCAGCATGTGGCCAAGTGAGTTATTGAGAACAGGGGCAGTTGGTTGTGGCCATCACTTACCAGTCTTCCCATCTATCATGAATTTGTACTTCGTATGGTGTATATAATTTACATGGTTTACATATAATGTATGTGGTGTATAAATAATTCATATGATATATGTTTATTTATATTTACTCCCTAGTATAGCTTCAACAAAAGCTGCAAATACCTGCCATTTGTAAAAACCGGTTTGGCTCAGTGGATGGAGCATCAGACTGCGGACTGAATGGTCCCGGGTTCGATTCCGGTCAAGGGCATGTACCTTGGTTACGGGCACATCCCCAGTGGGGGGTGTGCAAGAGGCAGCTGGTCGATGTTTCTCTCTCATCGACGTTTCTAGCTCTCTAGCCCTCTCAATTCATCTCTGTGTAAAATCAATAAAAATATATTTTAAAAAAAAGAGTATCTGGAATCAGAGAAAGGGATCAAAAAGAGAAATGGGAAGAGGGGCAGGAATGGAAGGAGGGGAGTGCAGCATAAAGAGGAAAGGAATTGTTAAGTTACAGAAGAAAGTGCAGGCAGGACGCTCTAACTCAGAAGCAGAGATGAGAGAGGAGCCTGCAGGTGTAGCAGTCTGAGGCTCAACCGGAAACGGCGGGCGGCTGGGCGGGGACTTCCGGTCCGGGACCTTCCCTTTGCCCCCGGAAGAACCTAGCGGTCCCACTGGCAGCGCCCGGCCGCCGCGGTGAGACCTGCGCCCCGCGCCCCCAGCGGGTCTGCGGGTCCCGGGCGGGGCGGCGGGCCGACGGGGCGGGCGTTGCGGGGCCGGCCGTGGGGCTGGGGCCGGGAGGGGCGGCGAGGCGCGGAGGGGAATCGGTGCGGCTCGGCCCACCCAGAAACGGGCGCAGAGAGGCGGGGAGGCGAGGCAGGCACACACGTGGGGGGACGGAGGAGGGTGTGCAGACGCCGGCCTCAGTTTCCCCGCTGTGGCGGCCGGCGTTTCTCCTGCAGACCGCACCCCTCTGGGCTCAGGATCCCCGCGTCCGGCCGCCTGGGGGCGTGTCCGCCTGGCTTCCGGCGGGCCCTGGTTCCACTAACGGACTCTGGCTCTCCCACCTCCTGCCCAATCGCACCCCCTCCAGTTGCTCCCTGTTGTGGTCGATGGCACCATCGTCCGTTCAGCGGCCTCGTGGGGAATCGGGGCATCCTCAGCTCCTGTCCCTCCTGGACCCAATCCAGTCCGTTACTCCGGGCCCAGCCTCACCTCCCGAAGCCAGTGCCTCCTGCGCCTCAGCCCCACCCACCCCAGAGCTGTCAGCCAGCCGGCAGGGCCTGGGTGTCAGGGAAAGGCTGTCTGAGACGGGGAACTGGTCAGAGCTCCCATCACCTGCTTCTCGCTGCTCCCCTCCTTCACTTTCGTCTCATCCATGCCGGTGCCTGTAGCCGATTGTTCTGATCAATATCTGAGTCCCCACTAGGGAGTCCGTGGGGACCGCCAGCAAACCCTGACTTCTGGGGGTCCTTTCTGCTAGAGAACCCCCAGAAGAAAAGGCGGATTTGGGGGGGGAGGGGTAGATTGACCGCATTGTCAGTGCCATTACCTGGGGAGAGGGTGGCTGGGCAGAGCCTTCCTACTGTCAGCCTGGAGGACAGGAACGGGAGTAAAGGGAAAGGAAGAATAAGAGTTTGGAAGCAGCTCTCAGAGCCCTGAGCAGTTACTTTAGAAGGGTAACATTTTAGCTCCTCCGGAAGAGAAAGCAGCAGCAGAAGCCGCTCAGGCTGCCCTTGGCCTTTCCTACAGGAGCACTGGGCGGGTCCCGCAGCCTCGAGTGAAGCGCTGGCAGGTATCTCCGCTGTGAAGGGGACATGGTTCCTCGCTTTGTGAAGGATGCCTCCCTGCCAGGGCACAGCCTGCAGAGCTCATCCGCCTGGGCGGGCGGCTTAGTCCTGTCTGCAGCTGTCAGTCACACTGGGCAGCAAACACCCAAATGTGTTGTGTGTTTTTCCCTCTGAAATTCAGGGAGAGAACTTCCCGTTTTGCTTTATTTTCTCCCCGGGTCTGCCGGGGTCTCCTCCTGTATAAGAGAGGCACCTCTGCCCAAGTTGGGACTCCAGTGCTCCCATCCTCCTGGTGTGAGGGTAATCTGTCCCCTGCTGGGAGTGTGCATTTCTCTATTGGGCTTGTGTCCTGCGTGCTCTTGGCGTATGGTGCTCCCACAGTGACCCCATGCTAGCAGGACGGAGGCCAGTCTCTGAGCTGGACTGCACCGCCTCCCGAACCACACCAGCCAGCCGGTGAGCGGTGAGGGGCGAGGGGTGAGGGGTGAGCGGTGAGCGGTGAGGGGCGAGGGGTGAGTGGTGAGCGGTGAAGGGTGAGGGGTGAGCGGTGAGGGGCGAGGGGTGAGGGGTGAGCGGTGAGGGGCGAGGGGTGAGGGGTGAGCGGTGAGGGGCGAGGGGTGAGCCGTGAGCCGTGAGCCGTGAGCCGTGAGCTGTGAGCGAGCTCCTGGTGTGGGTCTGGATGCCTTCAGCTCAGTATGGTCCCCGTGCAGAGTGCACACTTAGGGAGACTTGTTCTGAACCCCTGTTCCTATGTCCTTTCCTCTCCATCCTCCAAGCCAGGGTTTAAACGTGACCTGATATGGGCACTTTGGGAGACACTTTCGTTTATTGTTTTGTTACGAAGAATGTTTCTGCAATAGAAGTGGAGTCACTTAGGTAAAAATGTTGTTTACTGGATCTACTAGTGAGTCCTGGAAAACAATGGGACTTGGGATTCAGGAGGGAGAGAATCCTGAGTGAAAGGACATTGCTAATTGAGATGCACTCGTAATCTAACTGTTCTGTGATTACAACAGGGATTCGGCACGGCTCTGTCCTGGTATGTGTTAGAGCTGTTCGGAGATGGCTGACCCCTGGGAGGAGTGCATGGACTACGCGGTGACCCTGGCAAGGCGAGCTGGAGAGGTACGGTCCCGATGCCGCCATGTCCCCGATGCGGCATCCACCAAGGCCGCCATGTCCTTGATGCCGGCACTCACCAATGTCCCCGATGCCAGCACTCACCAATGCCGCCGTGTCCCCATGCCGGCGCCCACCAATGCCGCCGTGTCCCCGATGCCGGCACTCACCAATGCTGCCGTCTCCCCGATGCCGGCACTCACCAATGCCACCGTGTCCTCGATGCCGGCACTCACCAATGCCGCCGTGTCCCCGATGCCGGCACTCACCAATGCCGCCGTGTCCCCGATGCCGGCACTCACCAATGCCGCCGTGTCCCCGATGCCGGCACTCACCAATGCCACCGTGTCCTCGATGCCGGCACTCACCAATGCCGCCGTGTCCTCGATGCCGGCACTCACCAATGCCGCCGTGTCCCCGATGCCAGCACTCACCAATGCCGCCGTGTCCTCGATGCCGGCACTCACCAATGCCGCCGTGTCCCCGATGCCGGCACTCACCAATGCCACCGTGTCCCCGATGCCGGCACTCACCAATGCCGCCGTGTCCCCGATGCCGGCACTCACCAATGTCCCCGATGCCAGCACTCACCAATGCCGCCGTGTCCTCGATGCCGGCACTCACCAATGCCGCCGTGTCCCCGATGCCGGCACTCACCAATGCCGCCGTGTCCTCGATGCCGGCACTCACCAATGCCGCCGTGTCCCCGATGCCGGCACTCACCAATGTCCCCGATGCCAGCACCCACCAATGCCGCCGTCTCCCCGATGCCGGCACTCACCAATGCCGCCGTGTCCCCGATGCCGGCACTCACCAATGCCGCCGTGTCCCCGATGCCGGCACTCACCAATGCCGCCGTGTCCCCGATGCCGGCACTCACCAATGCCACTGTGTCCCCGATGCCGGCGCCCACCAGTGCCGCCATGTCCCCGATGCCGGCACCCACCAATGCTGCCGTCTCCCCGATGCCGGCACTCACCAATGCCGCCATGTCCCTGATACCTCGGGCTTTTCATTCCACTAAACACTACATGGAAAAGGTTCCCAGTTTTGGGTAGCTAACTTTTGGGATGACAGTTGTGGATCTGTCTTAGGATGTAAGAATGCTATGATTTTGTACCTAGAAGGACATAACTACTAAAGGTTTATTTTGTAAACCTTGTGATAAGAAAATTTTAAGAATATCATTTAAGACATTGCACCATTGCTGTTTCATTTTTAGCTTGATTTAAATTTACTTAACGCTTTTCTATTTGCTTACCAAACACATTCCCAGGTGGTTCGCGAAGCTCTGAAAAATGAAATGAATGTTATGATTAAAAGTTCTCCAGCCGACTTGGTCACTGTGACTGACCAGAAGGTTGAAAAGATGCTTCTCTCTTTCATCAAGGAAAAGTACCCATCTCACAGGTGAGTCTGCCGCCTGGAGTCAGTACTGAGACAGCAGTGCCGACCGAGCCGGAAGCTGACTGTAGTTACTGAGCCTGGAAGGGCGGTGGGCAGCCTGGGAGGGAGGTTGGGCAGGAGCCAGGGAGGAAGGGGACCAGAGCCCCCCACAGGAGCCACGGCTGCTGAGGCGCCGGCTGCCTCGCTCTGGACTCTGATTTCCCGATCGCTCACGATTACAGTCCGGGGCAGGGCCACCAGCCGGGAGGGATAAGGGAAAGGGTGTTTGGATTCTGGGAAGCTGGTGTGAGAAGGGCTGCCCAGGCATGATTTAGTCAGTTTTGTTCTCTATTGCAAATCTTCTGCGTGGTAGCCTTTGGGGCCTGAGAGAAGCCACGAGAGTCAGGGCTCAGGCACAGCAGCCCAGGCACTGCCACCGCTTTGTCTCAGTGCTGCCATTCTCTACCCCTTCCCGGCGATGTAAAGCCTGTACACTTCCTCTAAAAGCCACTGTGCAGCTGACACAGATCACCAAGTGATAGTTAGGAGAGCTCAGGGTTGGACAGAGGGAAATAGAACTGAACTTAGGGACGAGAGAAAGCAGTGACTCGGCACCACTTCCGGGGCCACCTGGGAGCTGTTGAACAGCGTGTTGGGGAGACAGGTCATTTTGGGGGCGACTTGCCTCCTTGCTGACCTATCTAATGCTCTCTTTTACTCACCTGCTGCTGCAGAGCAAGTTACCCTGAACTGAACATTAGCAGCTCCAGACAGCAGGCTTACAGCAGAGTTTTCTAGGTTCAGCACGTGGCAGTAGCTGAGCACAGGGTCTCATGACACGTGGGAGTCCGTGGGTCGGGCCGCAGCCACCAGGCCTGCACTGGGCCGAAAGATCCATGCGGCTTGGGTGGTTGCTGGTGACTTCCCTCCCTCCCGCGGTTGGGGGCAGCTCCCGTTGGTCCCTCGCCAGGTGGGCCCCTCAGAGCAGCTCAGCACGGGTGGCCTGCTTCCCTGGGCATGGCAGGGGCAGGAGTGGAGAGGGTAAGACAAACCACAGTGCGTGTTGTGAGCAGGTCCTCAAGGTGGTACGTTGGCACTTGTGCTTCGTTCTGCTGCTTAGAAACGAGTCACTAAGTCCAAGTTCACACTCGAGGCGGGAGCGTTAGGCCTGCCTCTGGAAGAGAGGAGGACGAGAGACCTGGGGGCATCTTTCTAAAACCACCACGTGCCCTAGTGAGGCCTCACCTTACCGGTGCCCTGTGCATGCCCACGCCTTCGCTCACCCAGCGCCCGTGGTCCCAGGACCGCTTGTCAGGCGATCTGGGAGTGACACTTAAGCACGCACGTCCCACTGGAGGCAGGAGCCCGGATGGAAGGGGGTGCTGTGCAGGATTGTACGTTTGTGTGACTGTAGCTAAGGGAATGCTACACCTGGCACTTGCGGAACTTGGTGTAAAGAGTCATTCTTGCTTTTAGTTTCATCGGTGAGGAGTCCGTGGCTGCCGGCGAGAAAAGTGTCCTCACCGACAACCCCACGTGGATCATCGACCCCATTGACGGGACCACTAACTTCGTGCACCGGTACGAGCGGGGTTTGCACTGAGGGGACCTTTTCCAGTGCTCCGTTCACGAGCATTCAGGCTCAGAAAGTTGTGTGGAGTGAGCTGTGAGGAGACCTCAGCAGGTGTGGCGGCAGTGACGGAATTGCTGTGGGACTGTGCGGCCCAGCAGGCTGCTCACTTCTTTTCCCTCTGAGGGAGGAAGGGGAGGGAAGCCAGCACCACGCTGCTTTGAGATCAGCTGGGGTGCTCTGCAGCCCACTGCATGCTGCGGTGCCACCTTCAGGCCAGGCGAGGAAGCTCAGGAAGAGTGTGGGTTTAGGTCAGCACTCTGTGGCTTGAGCCAGTGTTTTTTACAGGCTTTGCAACCTGGGCAAGTTCCTTCACTTTTCTAAGCCTCAGATGCTGTTTTCTTCTTATCTGCGAAATGAACTTATTATTGGTGCCTGCCTCACGGAACTGTGGGGACTCGGGTGGTACACATACGTGAGGATGCTTTACAGGGCCTGGGACACAGGGCAGCACACAGAGACAGCACAGGGCAGCACACAGGGCCCGGCACACAGGGCCCGGCACACAGGGCAGCACACAGGGCCCAGCACACAGGGCGGCACACAGGGCCCAGCACACAGGGCCTGGGACACAGGGCGGCACACAGGGACAGCACACAGGGCCCAGCACACAGGGCCGCACACAGGGCCCAGCACACAGGGCCCAGCACACAGGGCCCGGCACACAGGGCGCGGCACACAGGGTGGCACACAGGGCCCAGCACACAGGGCCTGGGATACAGGGCGGCACACAGGGCAGCACACAGAGCAGCACACAGGGAGGCACACAGGGCAGCACACAGGGCCCAGCACACAGGGCCTGGGACACAGGGCCCAGCATACAGGGCCCAGCATACAGGGCCCAGCATACAGGGCCCGGCACACAGGGCCCGGCACACAGGGCCCGGCACACAGGGCGGCACACAGGGCAGCACACAGGGTCCGGCACACAGGGCCTGGGACACAGGGCGGCACACAGGGCCCAGCACACAGGGCCTGGGACACAGGGCTTAGGACACAGGGCGGCACACAGGGCCCCGCACACAGGGACAGCACACAGGGCAGCACACAGGGCCCCGCACACAGGGACAGCACAACAGGAGCAGCCTCGCTGGGTGGTATAAGGGGTCGCCCTGTGGCTGGCGTGCCTGAGGGACACAGAGGTGTGTATACTGTAAACCCAGACCTGGCCGCTGTAGGTGGTGGGGATGTGGAAGGGTGCCCCTGGGACGTTGTAAGTGGGAGAAGATTATGATGCATTGTGTATAGAATGGCCTCGTTTTTGATACCATAAATGCTGTTACCTATTCCTAAAAATGTTTATTTTTAACTAGAGGCCTGATGCCCGAAATCAGGGCAGGGGGCTCGGCCCTCGCAGCCCAGCTTCACCCGAAGGGCGCTGGTCTATTAGCATGTTATGCTTTTTATTATAGATGTTATATTGAAGCCATTTTGTCTTTCTTTATCTTGCTTCTCTTTGAGTCAGAAATCACCACCCTGTCTCAGACTGCCGTGCAGCCATAGCAACCATGTGGCTCCCGGTCACCGTGCCGGTGTGAGGCTGCGGGTGGGCTTCGAGGAGACAGGAGCCGTGAATTCTGTGCAGCCACGCCTGTGTTCACAGGTCCAGGCTGGGGGAGAAGCGACCACAGGAAAGAACCTTTTCTCTTAGCTGTGGTCAGTGTAAAATCTCTAACATTTGTTTTCACTTTTTGAGACAATATCGTACACCATTACTATATTGTGGTATTCAACATTCAAAAGAGCGAATGGCGTGAGAGCGGAGTGCCTTCCCAGGTCTGTCCCGGGTCCTCAGGCCGTCTCTGAGGTGACTCCTCTCAGAGCTGCTCACCGCTGCAGAGGTCCCTGTATGTCTGATCTGTGTCCGAGCCCCAGCCCCGTGTACACGAAAGGTTGCATACTTAACACACCACTGTGGGGCATAGAATGAGACCTTATATGGAAAACGTTATAAGCAATTATATTGTGAGAAGACATATTTATTGGAAATAAGTCCTCTCTTGGTAACTTTGTGTTTGTGTTTTTTTTAAGATTTCCTTTTGTGGCTGTTTCCATCGGCTTCGTTGTCAATAAAGAGGTACGCTGCTTACTTGTGGCGGGTAACATGCTGCTGTCATTTCTGAGAAAGAGTAACTGTCTCCATAGCACGTACAGGTTTGTCTCTGTATTCAGTTTACACGCTGCATTGTTGTGAAGTAAGCTGTGTAACGATCATGGTACTTCTCCCAGAGAAGAACACAGTGCTTTCTGAGCAGCAGGAGTTTTAAGGGAGAAACACACACTGAGTCCCCTCGGCATGTGTGAGGGAGGCAGGTGGTTACAGGGAGAGAGGTTCAGCTAGCGCTTCCTCGGGTGTTGGTGGAAGGCCCGGGGCTGGGTTGGGCTGGGGGGTTGGGGGAAGAGCAGCGCGTCTGGAACCCGAACCCGCTGCGTGCAAGCCCGGAGAGCGGAGGGTCGCTGGGCATTGCCACGCTGCGTGGCTGCCTGACCGATCAGCAGTGAGTGATGCTGTCTCTTCTTGGCCCTGTCTTCACGATTCCTGATGTATTGATCACATGGACACAGGGAGTTGAGTTGCTGGAAATGAAAATACAAGTTGGTGCACAGGAAATTAGCCACGGGGCTGTGAGCCCAGGGCGTACGAAGGAGCTGAGCGTTCTCTCTTGTGCACTCCCCCTGCACGGTGCGCGCTCCCCCTGCACGGTGCGTGCTCCCCCTGCACGGTGCCTGCTTCCCCTGCACGGTGTGCTCCCCCTGCACGGTGCGCGCTCCCCCTGCACGGTGCCTGCTTCCCCTGCACGGTGTGCTCCCCCTGCACGGTGCGCGCTCCCCCTGCACGGTGTGCGCTCCCCCTGCACGGTGCCTGCTTCCCCTGCACGGTGTGCTCCCCCTGCACGGTGTGCGCTCCCCCTGCACGGTGCCTGCTTCCCCTGCACGGTGTGCTCCCCCTGCACGGTGTGTGCTCCCCCTGCACGGTGTGCGCTCCCCCTGCACGGTGTGCGCTCCCCCTGCACGGTGTGCGCTCCCCCTGCACGGTGTGCTCCCCCTGCACGGTGTGCTCCCCCTGCACGGTGTGCTCCCCCTGCACGGTGTGCTCCCCCTGCACGGTGCGCGCTCCCGCCCTCGGCGCCCAGTCAGCGCCAGCTAGCTGTGGGCGGATGGGACGAGAGGGTGAGCGGGTCCAGGCATCTGCCAGGAGGGGTTTGAGGTGATTCCTAACAGAAGGGTCTTAAGATGTGACCGGGTGGCTGGGGCCCAGGGACATGAAGACAAGGAGGCATTTCCATCAGAAGGAGCAGCTGGGGAAGAGCCTGGAGCTTGGGGAGCCGAGAGGCTGTGGGAGCCCTGGGCGGGGCCGGAGGTCCAGGAGGGTGTGAGGCTTGGTTTTGCGGTGGTGAGGTCGGGGAGGAGGGGGTGAGGTGGGGGGGACGGTCAGGGGAGGCTTCTAAGTGCAGTTAAGGTGTTTGCAGCCGTGTCGGGATTCTGAACTAAGATGGTGCCCTGAGAATAGCTGAGGAAATGCCCGAACCAGGAGGTGTTCTCAAGACGGAATTTGGAGGAGGAGCTCTGGCCAGCGCTCAGTGGTTAGAGCATCGGCTCCGCACCACAGGGTCTGGGTCCATTCCTGGCCCAGGGCACGCACCAGTCAGGGCACGTTTGTAAGACAACCAGTCAGTGTGTGTCTGTCACATTGACCTTCTCTCTTTCTCCCTCCCTTTTTCTCCCCCATAACCCCCTCCCCCCTCCCGCTCCCTCCCACCCACTCTAAAGAAAAAAAAGCTCAGGGTTAAAAGCAACGTTTGGGAGGAGCTGGGGAAGGATCAGGTGGGTCAGGGGGTGGTGTGCGGCCTCCTTGGCTGAGGGTCCGGGGAGGGGCTCTTCCTGTGATGGCGGAGCTGAGGAGCGGCAGGGCCGGTGGTAGTTGGACTGTGGGCTGTCAGACTGGAGAGCGAAAGGGACGGGAGATTGGAAAACGCTGATGTACACAACTCTCACAGGTTAGGCAGAGAAGAAGCCCTAAAGGAAGTGACACGCCCACTGGCTATGAGCGAGGGGGCTGAGCCCTGGGCAAACGCGGAGCCTCCAGTTCACCTGGCTGTGGGGGTTTCAGAGGAGTGGGTGGCCAGGCAGAGGCCAACTGTAGTGTGTTACCGGGGAGGGGAGGGGAGAGGCGGGGTACAGATCTCTGGCAGGGAGGGGAAAGCTTTTGGAGGGAGGGAGAGCTCGGTGAAGAGGAGCCAGAATCCTAGCCCGGAGGAGGAGCAGCGGGAGCAGCGGGTGGCGGTGACCCTCAGGAGGAAGGAGTGGCCCCGAAAACAGGCAGCTCTGTCCGCTGGGCGAGAGGGAGGAGGTTCTGGACGGTGGGGCCTCTTCCCGCCGGGAATCTGGAGGAGCCCTCAGTGTCCGCTCTGCAGCCATGGCAGACACTTGTCCCTCATATGGCACTGAGGGCGAGCACACAGACCCGGTGGTAAGGAGCCGCTCTCCCTGCAGATGGAGTTCGGCGTCGTGTACAGCTGCGTGGAGGACAAGATGTACACGGGCCGGCGGGGCCGGGGCGCCTTCTGTAACGGCCAGCGGCTGCAGGTCTCCCGGCAGGAAGGTAGGCTCCCGCTCCCCTTCTGTGGTTGGGTGTTACCTGACTCATCGGTTGTATTTATTTTCCCTGCTCTCTGCTCCCACTGGAGTTTGAATGTGGTAGTGGGAGTGGGGAAGCGGGTGGAATTGAGCAAACCACTTCAGGACATGGCTGCGGGCTGGGGGTCATGGCGCTTTATTGCAGCCACTGCCTCGCGTATTCTTTGTAGACTCGCTCTGAGCTGATGGCGGTGGGACCACTTACTAGGCAGTAAATCAGAGAAACTTAAATTTAGGAATCACTAAAACTGACCTTCTGTAGGAGCTGGGTGATTGACAGGTGAGCCTTCTCTGCAGGACGCTGAGAGGGTGTGAGGACCTTCTCCCCATGAGACACGCCCAGCGTTGGTCAGATTACACATCAGATTTTAAGTGCTCCAAGAACTTCAGATCCTTGCAAAACCATCTCAATTCAGAATCCTCCCACACTGTCATAATTTTTCTCCTCAAACACTTACTTTGAGAGCAGACATTTATTTCATTATCTTCTTATTGAACTCTAAGACCTGATTGTCGAGACGTTAATGTGTGAGAAATGTGCATCTCGGAATCAAAGGAGAGGCTGCTTTCCTGCCAGCAGCTCGCTCTCTTTATAATTATTCTGCCCCACACAGAGTGTAATTGCACCGTGTGATTAAATAGTTAAGATGTTTGCTAATTTCCCACTAAAGCTATTATGTAAGCAGGTTAGTTGGTTATATTCTGCATTTTGGGGGGATGGTCTAAAAAGCTAGACTCTCATAAAATGACCTCGGAGGTATAACAAATGTATCCGCATCTTAAGATTTAAAGCCTTAGAAGTAAACATGTTTGATACAACTAGGAATAGAGCCAAGAATGTCCTGTTTTGCTCTGAATCACAAGTGTTGATTTTTTTTTTACCTGAAATTCTTATTAAATGAGTGATTTTTGGAGTCATTTCCCTTTAGATGTCACCAAGGCACTCCTGGTGACGGAGCTGGGCTCCTCCCGAACGCCGGAGACCGTGCGGACCGTCCTCGCCAACATGGAGAAGCTGCTCTGCCTGCCCATCCACGGGTAGGCGCTGCGCCGCGGCCGCCGCACGCAATGTCCTCATCGCGAGCCTGTTCGTGCTGGACAGGGATGGGGACCATCATTCTCATTTTCTAATGAAACTTGAAACACTTTTATTTGAAGATAATTTAAAACAGAATTTGCAGAAATAAAATAAGGCAAAAAGACAATAGCATACCCTTTGCCCAGTTCCCCTGTCAGTGTTTTACCCTTTTATTATTCCCCTAACGGTCTTGAGGTAAATTACTTACAGCGTAGCTCTTTGTCCCTAACACTGCACTGCTGCTCCCTGAGAGCAGGGGTGTTCTCTCCCACAGCCACAGCGCCTTGCTGACTTTGTAAACTTCTGTTCTCTGATGTGCCGTCCATGCTCGCTGGGTCAGGGTCTAATGACAGCCATCCTTTGCAGTGTTCCTCCTTCGAGGGGGTCCAGGCCCGGGCGGGTGGCCTGGCCACCTCTGCTGTCCATGCTGTTTTTGAGACAGTTGATGCCAGCCTAATTTTTTTTTAGCATTTAAACTATTTCTTGATTTACATGGAGCCTCTGAGATTTTGTTTTCCTTTTCACTTTTGAGGTCTGATTGTTTTACAAGGATCTGTTTTGGAATTTCACATCTGGGAGACTTTTCTCCTTCAGCGTAGATTTGTGTCTCTCTCCCCCCGCCCCAAGATTTTTTTACACACACACACACACACACACACACACACACACACACACACATATATATTGATTTCAGAGAGAAAAGGAAAGGGAGAGAGAGAGAAACATCAATGATGAGAGAGAATCATTGATTGGCCACCTCCTGTACGCCCCCTACTGGGGATTGAGCCTGCAACCTGGGCATGTGCCCTTGGCTGGAATCAAACCTGGGACCCTTCAGTCTGCAGGCTGATGCTCTATCCTCTGAGCCAAACCAGCTAGGGCTCCCAGCTTTCTTGAGTTATAGTTTTAAATATTAGCTCAGGTCTGCTTTTATTTTCTTCTTCAGACACCAATAGGCGAGGTCTCTGTCGTCCATTTCAGCCACTTTCTCTCTGACCCATTTACTCTTGTTTTTCCTGCTTTTCCTTGGGGCCTTGATTTGGCTTTCACTTGCAGCCGCTTCGTTAGGGCTCCCTGGCTCGCAGTCTGAGTTCAGTTATCATTGCCCTGAGCTCAGTCATCTCCCTATCTCTTCCTGGGCTTTGTTCCTCACTCCTTCTGCGTGTAGGTTTTGTATTTCTGATTTAACACCTGTGTTTACAGCTCCTTCTTTGAGATGTTTCATTGAGATTGGATTGATGCCAGTTTCAGTTTTCTCCCTTTTGACTGTTGTTTTTTTTTCGTGAAAGACGTTTTCAGCCAGAAAAGTCCCAGCACACTTAGTAACAGCTGAGCAGGGAGCAGAGTCAAATGTTTGTGATACCAAAAGCGGTCAGTCCTTCCTACCGGGTTTCCACTGTGATTATACACACACCGTGCACAGTAGTGGAATTTAATATTTTCTCCAGCCTTCCCCCCTGAAAATGTCGTGGCTGTAATGTTTATTTTATTAAATTACTTTGTGAGAGTGGTCATTTCTGTGGTGCACACAGTAATTAGGTTTTTATGTATTTTTATTTTATTTAAAATTAGGTATGTATCCTGTAGACGGGTTCAGAGGGTCTCAGTCGACACTGAAAATGAACTGACGTGAAGGAAGACCCTATTGAAAGAATGGCTTTTCCAATCTCCTTTTTAACTCTGTCTGCTAGGATCCGAGGAGTCGGGACGGCAGCTGTCAACATGTGCCTGGTGGCCAGCGGAGCGGCGGACGCGTATTACGAAATGGGCATTCACTGCTGGGACATGGCGGGAGCGGGCGTCATTGTCACCGAGGCCGGCGGCGTGCTGCTGGACGTGACAGGTAGCGGATGCAGCGGGAAAGCATCTTCCTGCCCCTCTGCTGGGCTTTGGTCTTCCAGTGTGTGTGTGTGTGTGTGTGTGTGTGTGTGTGATACTTGACTCAGTGTCTATCTGGAGACAAAACAAGCTCCAGATAGACACTGCGGGGAGAGGCGAAGGGTGGAGTGGGGCTGCTCACGCCACACGGCTAAGCCTCTCCTGTCGTGAGCAGAGGCGCTCTGGAGAGGCTGGGAAAGTGGCGGGGCCACGGGCCTGGGGCTGGTGCCAGAAGCTCTTTGGATGGTGAGTGAGTGGCAGCTGATGGCGGCCTCCGTCTCCGACACTTCCTGCCGCAGGTCGGATCGGCTCACTGCTTCAAACTGAGGGCAACGTCGTTAGAAGTGGGGGGACCTGGTTAAAGCTCTCCGGCGTCTGAGAAAGGCAGAGGAGAAGTCAGGAAGTGGGCGGGGGCTTCCTGCCCATGGCACCCGGGTGTTACAGAGGCAGCCAGGGCATAACGGTGGCTCAGGCAGGACAGAAAAGGTGGCAGGTTCAGACTGGTGCGCTTGAGGAACCCCCAAACTGGTCCTCAGATAAGATGCCTAAAAACTCATTTGTGTCTTGCCAAAGCTTAACCGTTAAGTCAGGTGACAGAGTAGCTTTTGGGAAATATGATTGGTCGTGCCTGTCACCGTGTGAGTTCTGTAGGAATGGTGTCAGTACGAGACTAACTCTCCTCCTCGTTTATTGACTTCAGGGGCACCGTTCGATTTGATGTCGCGGAGAGTCATTGCTGCGGGCAGCCAAGCCTTAGCGGAGAGGATAGCCCGGGAAGTCCAGGTGGTGCCCTTCCAGCGAGACGACGAAGACTGAGCTCCCTCCCCGCCTCGCCGCGGCCGCGCGCTGCTCTCCCAGACGTGCTGGCACCGGTGCTGTCACCAAGTTTAGGACTTCATTTCAGCCCTGTAGTCTGATTGGCTTACGTTGTCTCATGTCTAGGTTTAAGAATTGCTACTTGTTCCATATTGTCCTAGGACTAGGTAGGCACGGAGTTGAAATATTTCATTGTAAAATTCCGTGTAGGAATGTACCTTTCGGCAGCTGATGAGGTGGTATCTCGTCCACCAAAGTAGTGAGCATTCAGTTTCCGAGTCGGTATGAGCCTCTGAAATTTTGACTTGCTACTGATATACCTCAGCATTCTTAATTACAGAGTCAACCTTTTGGGAAAGAATTTAGATTGGAAGTAATTTTAGGTTGAAAAGCCATGTTTTGTTGATTTGTAAGGAGTGTGCTGAGTCCTGCCTGGGCCGGGCTGCTGTCTCTGCAGAACCTTGCTCTATGCATGGCTGCTCAGCTGGCACCTGCAGGCTCCGGGCAGGCGGTGGGCAGTCCACAGGAAAGCATTGAAACCACGAGGCTTTTGGAGGGAGCAGTTTCTGGTTGTAGCAGATACATAGTGAAGAGCTCACCTTTCTTTGTGATCACCAGGTTTTGAAGTAAGGCTTATGTATCCACCCTTTATATTTCACATTACCGTTCCTAGAACATTTCATTCCGCACGTCCCCACGACCGTCCCTTAAGTGTGGGCATTTCTGCAGTGAGTGTGCGCCGGGACCTGCCTTCCTGTGCTGCGGCTCCCTGTGCTCGGACCGGTGAGCGCTGGAGCCCGCACGGGGCAGACAGACGGAGTTGGTAATATTGAGCTTGGTCCTTCTTAGACTCCTCGTTTCACTTCGTTTCCACCGGTTTCTGTTCAGCCTTTAAATATTCCTTAAGGTCTTTGGCTTATCACTCAAAAAGAAAATTGCTTCAGTTCATAGATGTTTTTACAGATTTATTTATTGTTTGTTGGCACGTGAACAGACCATTAAGTTTAGTTACAGGCTATGCGAGCCTGGTGTTGGAGGGAACAGAGGTGTTCAGGGCAGGGCTATTCCATTGTGCGCGTCTCACATTAAACGATGTCACTAAGACCTGAGTGTTGTCATTGTGTGTCTGTGCTGTTGGCCACATGCAGTAAAACATCTCATCCTGTGTTCTTGCAATTAAATATATTTTAATTAAGACAATCATGAATGACATTTTAAATAAAACATATAATTGAAATTTTTATTAAGATTTATAGTTTAAACTACCTTTTTGTTTATTTCTTTTAACTTATAATACATTTTGAAGAATAAGAAATAGCCTTAATATTTAGCATTTGTCGAGCACTATAGCAGGCACCGTGTAGCACTTGACATGGTGATCCTGTTTAATTCCCCCCTTAGACAGGAGCGCTGTGTCCTCGTTTTCCCGAGGTGCGTGGATGCTGTTTAATTAAGGAGCCCGCTTTCCCTGCTGCAGGCACAGGCAGTGGAACCACGTGGAGAGCGGGACAGCGGGAGCCCGCAGTCTTCCCCGGCCAGCGGCCTCACCTGGCTGCCAGGAGAGCCACCTGGGGCTCTTGAACAGCATTGCTTGTCCCACCCGAGGGAATCAGATTTCCTTGGTCGGTGCTGTGGCCTGGATGGCTGCCCTTTGGTGAGGGGCCCGGGGACTCTGGGTGGATAGGAGTGAGCTGCTTTCTCAGGAATGGCCTCCTCAGTGACTCGCCCCCGCCACCTCCACAGCCTCGGAGCGCTTCATGGTGCGACTGGGTGTCTTCACGCCGAAATGTGCTGATGGGGTGAGAGCCGGATTTGAAACTAGTGTAGCGGCCTTTTGATTCCCACAAATGACCACTAGATGGCAAATTACACACAGGGAATCATACTTTAGCATTTTCATCATGGAAAACATTTTATTTTTCCTTCAAATGACCGCATTGGCCAGTATTGGGGTTTAATAATACAGTACCAAAGCCAAGGTAGTTTTCTCGTAAAGTGGAATACCCTGCATTGTGGGTTAACTTATTTTTCCGGCAAAGCCATAGGTGCTGGCTGTCCTGTGGCCCCGACCTCAGCGCTGTGCAGCGTTAGCTTTCAAGGGCTCGTTAACCACAGACATAGGCGAGGCGTGGGCCTTGTTATACGTGAGCGCCTCTCCACCAGTCCAGTCCAGTGTCACTGTCAGTAACCAGCCGCTCACGAAGCCGGCCCCGCATCCCCCTCCCCTTTAGGGGGCTGGCTGTAAGGCGAGGTACGCTGGTGAGACGTGAGGAAAATAAAAGTATATGAGTGAGGTTATGCACTTGTGTTGATCAGTGAATGATTTTTATTTTTATTTTTTATTTTTTTTATTTTATTGATTTTTTACAGAGAGGAAGAGAGAGGGATACTTAAAAACATCGATGAAAAAGAATCATCGATCAGTTGCCTCCTGCACACCCCCTACCAGGGATGTGCCCGCAATCAAGGTACATGCCCTTGACCGGAATTGAACCCGAGACCCTTCAGTCCCCAAGCCAACGCTCTATCCATTGAGCCAAACCGGTCTTGGCTGATCAGTGAATGATTTTTAAAGTTTTCTATCAAAAAGCAACTACTTGCCCTTCCTCAGACTCAGGCATGGCACCAGCAGAGGACCGGCCTGGGGAGCCCAGACGTGGACGTCTGAGGGCCCTGTCCTGCCCACGAGAGGGCCCCTCTTGCTCGGCCCCAAACCTTTCCCCCTCCACCCCTGCCTTGCTCTCATCCTTGCTAGCTGTCCCCCCAAGGCATTCACTTGTGGGCGCTTTGGAGAGCGATTCCCAGAACCCTGGGAGTGAGGGGTCCACAGATTGTCTGGGTAGGTTCCAGGAGGGAAGATGCCCTCGCTGTCCGTCTGTCTGCCACAGCCAACATGCCTGGGAAGAGCTGCACCGGCCGTCTGCCCGGAAGCCAGACTTCCCTCTCCTCACTGGTCACTCCCAGGAGGAAGCTCTGAGAGAGCCAGGTGTGAGCTGTCAGGTGACAGCCTGGCATCAGCTCTGACGGGTGTGAGCTGTGCGCCCTCCACACCTGCTGGGCTCTCACTGGGGAGCTAACGGCCAGCACTTTGCAGACAGCAGACTGTGTGCTTAGAGCTAACAGGGCCAGTGCTGGGGGGCCTGGCTGGTCCCGGGGTGCAGACAGCAGACGTCATGTGCTTAGAGCTAACAGGCCAGCGCTGGGGGGCCTGGCTGGTCCCAGGGTGCAGACAGCAGACGTCATGTGCTTAGAGCTAACAGGCCAGTGCTGGGGGCCTGGCTGGTCTTGGGGTACAGATGGCAGACTCTGTGTGCTTAGAGCTAACAGGGCCAGTGCTGGGAGGCCTGGCTGGTCCTGGGGTGCAGACAGCAGACTGTGTGCTTAGAGCTAACAGGCCAGTGCTGGGGGCCTGGCTCGTCTTGGGGTACAAACAGCAGACTCTGTGCTTAGAGCTAACAGGCCAGTGCTGGGGGGCCTGCAGTTAACCTAGAGCTCAATTGAATTTGAAAAAGTTGAGCCCAGTCACCTTTAGAGAACTGAGTCCAGATGACACAGGACTTGCCACACAGCAGCCTGCTCAGCATCTGAGAATCTGAGGCTGCAGTTTCTTCTTTTCCTTTCTTTTTCTTCCTTTTCTTTTCTTTTTCTTTTCTTTCTTTTTTTTCTTTTTTTTTCATTTTAACTATGGCCACCCCGTGGGCTGTGCGGCTGTGGCAGCGGGACCGGGGAGGACGGTCCGAGCGCAGGGAGAGCGGCCTCCTCAGGACTTCGCTGAGGCTGGGGAGAGCGGGGTAGTCCGAGGAGCTCACCTTGGACTTGCAGAGCAGGAGGGGGGCGGGGGGGGGGCGCGGTTCAGGCAGAGGTGCCGGAGGGCACCTGGGTTTCAGGAAGGGAGGACTGGACGGGCCCCCAGAGGTGCAGCGGGCACTGGAGAAGGAAGGGGTCACTGCAGGGGCGGAGGAGCAGATGGAGAGAAAGCTCCTCCCGGGAAGGTCGTCCCAGAGGCTTGTCCTGGGAAGCCGGGATGTGGACTGGGTCTAGGGCCCTTCTTGAGGTTCATTTCATTCGGCAGGAAGGAAATAAACGGAAAGCAGTGACTAAGAGCAGTTTTACTCCAGGAACTGGCCCCTGGACCTCTCAGAACCCATCTGACGAGGAGAAACAATGTGAGCGGCGTGGGGTCCCCTGGAAGCTCACCCCGCAGAGGCAGGCACCCGGCTTCCCGAGGGAGGACCCTCTCCACGAGGCGGGGTGTGTTTTACCGCCTCGCACAGGCGGCAGACGCGGGCCTGCGGCCGGTGCTGGGCTGGCCGTGCTTCCTGCTCGCCCGGCCCTGGCGCTGCTCTGCCTCGTACCCAGCGACCTGGCTGCGCTGCCTCTGAGCCCACAGGCTCCGGCCTGCAGCCCTTCACATGGCGAGATCGCTCCTCCAATATTTACCCTCTGCTGCCGGCGACTCAGGCCTCACACACGGGCTCTGGGCACGGCTCCGAGCCGGGCTGATGGCTGGTGGCACAGGCACGCAGCCCTGAGGGGGCGGCTGCTACAGACAATTCACCGGATAACACCGTGGGGCGGCCCCTCCCTCGGCATTAGGTTCCACTCTCCCCAGGCCCACCCGCTCCCCCCACGCGGGACGCTCCCCCACGCGGGACACTCCCCTCCACGCATGATGCACCGGGGGTGGGGGGTGGCTTTGCTCCTCGCCTCCTCCCGCTGTCTCGGCAGAGGTGGCAGGCGCAAGTCTATTAACGATCGCGAACCTTGTAAAGATTCAGGTCTTGTCATTTTGGGCTCCGGGTCCTTGGCTTGCTCCGTAGAAAGCGGAGAGACCTGTCACTAAGAACACTCTGCGCCCTGGGGAGGGCCGCTCCCGGCTGTGGAGCTCACGGTGAGCGGGGCTGGGGGCAGCGGTCCTGCCTCGGCCGATCTCGGTGATCCCTGCTCCTGAGCATTCACGCAAGCGACTGTGGCGCCCCCAGGGCTGGGCTTCGTGCTGG